AACAGGCCTTCTGAAGTCTCTCATGATTTTTCTTCAAAGAGAGAGTGATGGGTTCAGGGAGTGAGGCAGGGGGAAGGGGGAGCAGCGTAAATTCGGCAGCTCACATGTGAGCTCCGGCGAGAAGTCCGTCCACCGTTTCTAAGCTATCCTGAAAGTTTCAGCTTGCTAGCTAGTTGGGAAGTGAGCAAAATTTGAGTTGCAAAATTTGATCCGGACAAACAAACGGACAAGAAAGCAAGTTAATAAAAACGTGTTAATTAATTAAAAATTCTAACCAGGGCTGCCCTAGGAACTTGACACTCGCAACAATTGCGATCAAATTTTAAAACCCATTAAAACGCGCACCCCATTTCTAGTGACAATAAAAAAAAAAAATAGTGCATTATAAAAAAAATCCAAATTCGAATTTAGACATGAATTGAACCTGAATTCAATGAATTTCCTTTGTTTACATAAAAATAAGTTCTTCTGATTAAATTGGTCCACAATATCCCATTAGAAACAAGTACTGTATAAAGCACACTGAAACTTCCAAGGCTTATTGAAAAATGTATACCTGCTTATGACGCGCACCCCTTTTTTCCTCTGGATTTTGGGGAAAAAGGATGCGCCGGTATCTCGAATAAATATGGTAAAGCACTGCATATACCTGTACTGTATACAGTTTAACCTCGATAACTTGAACCTCCCAAAGTCAAATATATTTAAAGGTTTCCGTTTGAATTCCATCAGAAACAATGCATTACAGATTCTCCTCACTCAAGGTTTTTCCTCTAAAACTTCCCTAACTCGAAACCCCTGAAGCCGAATTTTTGCTGTTCCCTTCAATTTAGACATAGGGAGGTTCGAATTGAAAAATGAATGAAAATGTCAATATGCACGAAGATGCACTCACCCAAAATCAAGTCTTTAACTTCGCCAAACTTCCCAGTGCGATACGAAGGATCTCGCAATAATTTATCCAGAATGGTGGATAATGAAACGTAAGACAACATGCTTGCCGTCAGGTGTTTTGCCATGTCCATCAGCCCTGCAATTACACGATAAATTCGATTTAGCTTAGAGATCAGTGATAAATCAACGAACGTTTCAGAAAATGCGTCAAAACAGATTAACGCGCAGAACAAGGCAGCTTTTGAAAGCTGCACGACAGGACACAAAGAAAAATTTCAAAGCGTAACAAATGAAGTAAACTATTAGTACCTTTCGAAACAGAAGGAATCAATGCGGCTGCATCGGTTCTGCGCTGGGCTTTCAGCACCATTCCCAACAAAGAGAACCAGCCTTCCGTAGACGCATCGTCTGCCAAACCGTGTCTGCAATTCCGCTGACACGCTTCTACGATGACCAACATCTTACTCTCCACTTTCGCAAGTCTCGTTACTATGTCCCCTTCATCAGTCGAGAGAGCCTTCAAAAATTGCACACAAATGACAAGAGAGAAATTCGCAAAAATCAACCGCATAAAAGCTACTTACAAAGTTCAGCTGCTCCTCAACGTCCTTCAGGAGGATGTCCAACGCTCCTTGGAAATCCCCTGATTTTTCCAGGAGATAGGCTTGCGCCTCCGCCAACCCATGCTTCTTACATAGCTGCAAAGCAATTTGATCACAGCAAGGCTCTCTTTCGGATTCATTTATCTAACGTCAAGGGGAACTTGTTCAACGATTAGCATAGTAAATGTGAGCGACTGTAGCTCAAAGATTTCGGCTTCAGTTCACATGAGATAAGACATACCCGTATTTCACAGTCATTTTTTAAAAACCCAGAAAAAAATCCGGAAGAGATACTTCGGGATACCGAAGTTAGCTAAGGAAACGCGGGAATGCAGGGCTTATTCATTTGTCAACGTCTCATGCTACCCTTGCCTGCTGCCCTAATTCTGAAATTTTCTCGTAAAAGAAATACTTCAGGAATTTCTCGAGTCACCAGTGAAAAAACAAACGTTGCTACACATACCTGGTAAACAGGATCGAACCGGTATTCGCCATCAAATTTCTTCAAAGACAACACGACTGCATACGGTCGATGTTCTGCGAGCAAGTCAAAATACAGCTCCCATGTTCCACAAGTTACTTCTAGTCCACGCAAACCACCTTCGTCATTCACGATGGAAACCAACGCATCCAAAAACCTAGAAAAACAACGATTTTTCTGTTTTTCGAAGACATGTACACGACAGATTCAACCATTCATGAGTGACGACTGGCAGGATATTAAAAAACTCGGGAAAAATTTTTAAAAAGTAATTTTCGAGTACTGTAGTTTTTCAAGCTCAGTCGAAATCTCAAAAATAAACAAAAACAAGAGAAGAAGATCGTATTTAGGCCTTCGCTGGGAGACGATTGCTAAAAACTCACGCGAAAAGAAGAGGACACCCGTCCGCACTCTTCACAGATCCCAACTGATCAATGATTTTTTGCAATAAATCTGGTCTTATGTGAGCAATGAAATCAGCGAATTCTTCAGCATCCACTGTTGCTAGATCGTAACTCCTCGAAATAATGACTTCATCATCTTCGCTGAACTTCTGCTTCAAGTACGGGAAGATTCTTCCACGCCTCCCAGGATCACGAAGGTAGCACCACAGGATTTTGTCTTTTTCGCCTTTGTGGTCATACAGAATTTCACAGACACGGAAGCTGAAAAAGAGCGAAACTTGGTCAGTGGTGTTTAGAAATCAAATACAGTACTGTACTGTACTAGGTTTAAAAGCCGAATCGCATATTGACGTCTGAACATGCGAGAAATCAAAATTAGCGTCGATTTTGTTTTTCTCACCTCCAATCTTCAGCATTTAAATACTGTAATCGATGGCGGAACTTAAAAGAAAGACTCACAATTCAGCTTCTTCGGCCAATGCTATCATTTCGTCCCAAGTTCTGAGCCACTGTGACTCGACAGTCTTGACACCAAGCAGCTGACAAATGGCAGATTGTCGCTCTTCTCGCTTCGGTTTGGCAGGACTGAACAGGTAGTCCATCAAACGTCTCCAAACTTCCGGAGAGAGATGAAAGTGACCTTCTTCTGTCCAAGCAACTTGCCGAGCCAAAAATAGCAACAAATTGTCGCTTGCGGCTTCCCCAAGCTTGAACTCAGTTCTACTCTCCTCGAACACGATCTGGATGAGGATATCGACCAGTCGCTGCTTCTGGCGAAGGCCTAGGTCTGTTTTGAATTCTTCAGCCTAGAAGAGGGTAAACAATGCTCAAATCGGTTCTTTTTCTCTTCATCAAAATTCTTGCTGATAATTACACGAATCAAGTTAGGAATAGAACGTGATCGGCATCACAAACAAGTCACACAGGTGAGAACATCATTCTAAGCAAATATTCACGAAAATTAACAACAGCTCGAACTTAGAGGCACAAGCAGGCGCGGGGTGCATCTCAATTTAAAAATGTTTCGAAACAATGCGACACTGATCTGCACAACGGACAGCAAGCCGAACCTTGCAAAGTTGAACTTCGACAACTTCAACCTACGAATGTCGAATTTTTTCAAGTTACCTGTGCAGAATCTTTTAGGAACAACGCATTGAAAACCTCCCTAACTCGAACGCTTTCTTTCTCAAACATACATTACTCGAATTTTCTGAAGGTCTGTCGGCTATCATTTTATTGACAAACGAAAGAGAAAAGCAATTAAAATGTAACGATGTGTTTTGAACGGAAGTGAAAGACTAACCAACCAGGCACATGAACGCTTGCATCCAAGTTCCAACATCCTGACAATTCATTCAATGTAAGGCCTAGAGTATCATAAATTACAATCCCGTAATTATATTTTTCTCCCAACGAAATTGCTTGTTTCCCTAACTCGATTTTCTTTTTTGCTGGTCCCTTGAACTTCGACTTGAAGAGTTTCGACTGTATAACACACTTTCGCCGAAATCCATGACTTCCTTATTCTTCAACATTTCAGAAAACGGCCCGGCGCGAAGTAACTTATATTAAGCGCATAATATAATCGTGATCCGATTCCGGAATGAAGGATTGCAAACTCACTTCAAAAGCCATGGCCAAAACGTTCAGAAACGCCAACGAGTCAAAGTTGAGTAGAGTCCTCAGCCTAGGATAAGCAGCCTCATCATCCCCAGCATTCCTCGTATGAATACTTGTCAAACAAGCCAAAACTCGGAACTTGACGGACGAGGCTGTGACAGCGCTCTGTGGCGGCGGAGAATACCCGGGAGCAGAAGCCATGAGTGGCCCATTCAACGGGTACGCTCTACCACCCAGGCAACACGAAATATACACCAGGATCTTGTTGCCGAGTTGGATGGCTTCAGAGCCAAGGAGCGTTGATTCAGAAGTGCTGCGAAGGTGTGCGTCCAACTTGACGAGCAGATCTTCTAATGGAGAGACGAAATCGCCTAGTCCGCGGTTGTGGCACGATATGTAAGCGTCTACCAACGAATGCTTCACGCAGAGCCGAACGACCTAGAAAACATTGATTACACATTTTTTAGACTCATGGAGTGACATCTTATCACTACAAAATCCCAAGGACTTGAGAAAAATTTCGATAAAACCAGGTTCATGGTTCTTTGAAACGAAGGGCTGACATTTTGTCGGGAACAGAAAATATGTGCTTCAAATTACTTCCAAAACAGACACGTAAAAAATTGCACACATTTTTCACTCATGTTGATGAAATAAAAAGTGATCAAGAAAATGTAAAAAATATGATGCACTCTTATTACAGACCTTCAATTTCTTACATTTTCTGGAAATAAACTAATCTTACAGAATTGAAAGCTGAAACAAATAGAAAATACATACGTAAGAAAAGCATTTATTCATTAAGAACTATATGTTCCCCAAAATGGAGCAGTATCCTTTCAAATATACTTTACAAGGTGCTAAAAATTTGTCAGCACAGCTAAAAAATTGAAACTTTCTTGCTGTTTTCATCATGAAAATTTCTACATTTCCAGAAATTTTAAAATTTTTTCAACGATTATTTTGCTTGCAACAAATGAAAATTCAAGTTCATTTTGCATTTTTTCCAGATCAGGGGTTCATTTCCAAGTTTTTATTATTCCTTCTTCAATAACTTCATCCAGGTCCTAGTTTCTGGCTGTGATGTTTTTCTCACTACCCAAACATTTTATAAAACTTCCTCCCATTAAAAAAATATATATTTTCATTTTTTTTCAACCGAAAGAAAGGAAATTGAAGAAAACGGGGCGAGGAACCAAACCAGCGCAAACGGGAGGAAAATTTGGTGATGGGTGGCGGAGGGGGACAAGATCCAACAGAACTTGGGAAGACGTCTGCTTTCAGACCAGGAGGTTGAAGATTATAAAAAATAAAATAAAAAAACACAGAAGTTTCATAGAATTTAAGTTACAGTAGTAAGAAAACATCACAGCCAGAAACTAAATGTTGAATGGTGTTTTTGAAGAGAAAAGAAAAATAGGAATGAACCCCTGCTCTTGGAAAAATTCAAAATGCATTTTAGTTTCCACGTGTTGCAAACAAAATAATCATTGAATAAATTTGAAAAAGTCATAAAATATAGAAATTCCCATGATAAACACAACACAAAAGTTTCAATTTATTAGCTGTACTGACAAATTTTGAGCACCCTGTGACATGAGTGGAGAACTCCGCCAAAAACTGAAGTTCTCACTTATCATGTCAAGAATTAAATTTTTTTAATTAAAAAAAATTACCAGAACCTTAGAACATCAAGGGCTGAATCATTAAATTTTATTTGCAGTGGTACCTACTCCAGAAATGCCCAAGGCTGTGTACAAGTGGGGCAACCCTCATCCTGTTTAATCAAGGAAAAAATTCGTTACACAGTACTGGGATTATAGAAGAAAATTAGTTTGTTTCAACGGAATTTTCATAACCTTGTCCCTCTGACGAAACTGCCAGGACCAAGAACAAATCTTTATGAAGATTTATTATATTTGTTATAAAGGAATTTTACTTAATCATAAAAAATTAAATGAGCGAACTTGAGGGACGCGGACGTTACAAAAGACGCGGAATTTATCATGATCACATAAAACACTGGCCCATCAGAAAAAGGCAACTTTGCTGAATAGACACGTTGCTCGTCAAGCTCTCAGTTGGCAGTGTACAAATTTCAAGCTTTCATTCGGCGATGTGATACCTAACTTTGGCACGACGTCAACGAACTAATGAATAGCACGTTCAAAATATTCACTGAGACGACAAACTCAAATGCTTGAATCGCAAGAAAGAAAAAAAGAAAAAGGAACGGAAACTCGAAAATGACAAAATCTCGGGAGAGGAAAAAATATAATTACCTGGTCGAAATCCAGACAAAGAATCTCCAACCGGACCAGCCAATCTTCCAGGACATCAAGTTTACCTTCCGCCTCGTACATTTCAACCAAAGTTTGAACAATCGCAGGATTCAAGAAAGTAATTTCTCCGGCCAACACTTTCGGCTCCAAGCACTCGAAAAATGCTAGGACCGCTGCATGGTTGTCTTTCACATAATCAAAAATGGTGTCAATCGCATTTTCTCGCGTCACCGAGTCCGACGAGATGCCACCGATCGAAGAAGGGATTTTCATGGAATATGCGACGCAAATCTGCAGATGCTCCAAGGCATTGGATTTCAATGCTTCCACCATTCCGGACAACAATTTCGAGGCAGCAGCTCTTCTCTCTGATTTCCTCTGACCTCTGAAACATAGAAATAATTTATCTTGCAAAAAATATGCTACAAAATTGAAGATACTGTAAATGGAATATTTATCGGTGCATCGGACAATTCAAGCGTTATTCAGTCAAACTCCGATGAGCCATTCGTTTGTGAGGTTTTTGACAGCTTAACGGGGTTGGTGGTTGTTCACAGAAGTTAAAATAATATGAAAATCAAATAAAATAGGAAATACAATTTGAATTCTTCTGGAAAACAATTAAGATAAGCCTTGCATGCGTAAATCATATCTAGCTAATGTTCCCAAGAAGTAATTTTTGTCATATAAGTGCTCGTGTGTTTTTTTTTTTTATATATTGGAGACCTCTCACAGAAATTTGAATGTTGTTGGCGGGCTATCAAAAACAAATAATTGGCGGGAGCATATTTAAGTAGACACAATTTTTGGCGGATGACGTCACAACGCGATTCCCAATGCAAATATCACTAGGGATTAGTTAACTTAAAAAAAAAGGTAATATGGCGGTTGCCAAGGGGGCGGCTAATCGGGCGCGCCTTGAAGGGGTTTGACTGTAATTGAAAATAAACACTAATAATAAAAAGAAAAACCACTCACACTCCAATCGCTCCCACAGCCTTATTGCTTAAAACGTCGTCGCACAAAGCCAAAGCTTCGAGGTGACGACCGTTGTTCAACAGGTAATCGACACGCTTCACCCACGTTCTCAAAGTGATAGCATGAACCCCATTCATTCCAAGGAAGACTAATCTTGCTTGGCCCGGGGCAGACGCGAAGGAGTAATAGCACGCCCTGTCGGCAACCAGTGCCATGGCCTTGCTAACCTTTCCTCCAGTGGAAAATCCCTGCAGAAAATTCGGCATGATCTAAACTGAGAACATCGAGGAAATCAATACGCTACTCATGTTTTCCAAAAACAAAAAAAAAACATGTTACAGGAAAAAAAATCCTGATTTGCAACCTTTCCTCCCGTGGAAAATCAGAGTAAAGAATACATGATCTACATTGAAAACATCGAAGAAAACGATATGATACTCGCATTTACTAAAAAATGTTATCGAAAAAAACCTAATGAGCTTCAACTTCTCTTCCACTGGAAAATCCCTGCGAAACATTTGGCATTTATCCAAATCGAGAAAATCGATGCGATACCTGTACTGTACTTGTAATTCCTCAAAAATGTTACCGAAAAAATCCTATGATGTTTAACCTTCCCTTTAGTGAATAATCCCTGTAGAACATTTGTCAAGCTCTAAATAAAGTAAATCGATACGCTGGTTGAGCTTCCTGAAAAATGTTTTCAAAAAAAAAAAATCCTGATGAGCTTCAGCTTTTCCTACAATGGAAAATCCCTCCCAAAATGAAGCACGATCTAAATTGAGAACCGGTGAAATCGATACGCTACTTGTACAGTATTTCCTAAAAATTTCATCAGAAAATTCATAATGAGCTTTGAATTCCTGAATGACGAGCTTGAAAAGGACAGTCGATTCTGCGATTACTTCTTCGTAATAAGAGTGATGCAATTTCACAAAAAACCAATGAATACAAAAAAATCTACCAGATGTAAAACAACACTCTTGGCAATAACGGAAAAGCCGACTCACCTTGAAATCCACGCTACCGTAAACCATTTCAACTCCCGCGAGCTCCACCACCTCAGGCACCTCCTTCGTCAACCTGGCGTCTCTCACATGCAATCTCTCCTCCGAATCCACCACAACAAACACGTGCGCATTCACCCACGCCAACGCCAACAATGAATAATCCAAATCCAGTTTTCTCAGGGGCAAAAACTGCATCGGCTTTCCAGGATGTAGCAGAGCCGCTGTATAGGTGAGCTGGAAAAAGAACACCTCTCTGTCGCGACAGAATGTGAAAACTGGGTCAACGACTCGTCCACGATCCGCTGGCAGTTGAATTACTACGGCTTGCCATGACATGAGCGGTAGAGACCGGGGATCTCCAGGAAGCGGATGACTGAAGATCACGCCTAGTTTGGGACGTGTCGTCACAACAATGACCTGAAAAAAAAAACAAAAGCACATGCATAAGCACGAACCGAAATTTACAGAATAAGTAATGTGCACGATATTATTGACCACTCATGATTCCGGTGCTGCTTCGTCATACAATTGTCCAGCATGAGATGATCTACGAACAGGAATTGATGTAGCAGGTAATTAAGTGAATGCGATCTACCAAAAGAAAAGCAAGAAAAACTCCCAGCGATACGCTCAGGGGAAAGATTTTGGTGCATTATATACGTTTACAGTATACCTCGTGAAAATAGCACCGTAAAGTATAAGCTGAACACACTTAGACTCTACATCCATTTCCTCTCAATACAAATTATATTTTGGGTTGGGTTAGGGAATATCTACCCTTTCAATGATGATCCTGTACAAAAATTTTTTATTGTCTCCTGAACTTACGAGTAGGTACAGTATAGTATTACTTGTAAATATTAAAAAAAATTTAAATATGGTAGCACGATGTACTAAGCTGTGAAAACCCCACCAGATAAAATTTCCGTGCTTCTGATCAAAATACTCATTGCAACAAAAAGTATCATACGGTGATATTCCGTTACGACGAATCGTATTGCAGAATAACGAATTTTCTTTTTGGTCCCGGCAGTTTCTTCATAAGGACAATCTCATACAAAAAACTTTCATAACGAGCTGATCTTCCTATAGGATCTCAGTATGATGAATTTTCACCTTGATGCAGAGAAGATACAATTCTCAGTAAACAAATGCCTTTCTGCTTCTTTCAGCTCATGTCCAGTAAGATCTGTTTACTTCCAGAAAATTTGAGAAGGGGTAGGTCTAAATGAGATGATTGTACTTCCGATTTTAAATTTTCTCCATCATTGCATCAAAATACATTCGAGCAATTATGCACAAATATGTCGTGGATGTACAGTACTTCAAGGCCTCTCTCACCTGTTTCTCACAAAATGTCAATCCTACACGCTCAACGAACCATGATCTCCATATAAAGATTTTTCTCAGGTCCCTGGGAGATCGTTGCAACGAGACTTCAATGTTCCAAACATTTAAAAATCGGATCATTAAAAAAAAAGGTTCTTGCCTTCGACAACGACGCCATGGCAAGGATGGAGCCTGCCATCCGCGTGGTATCTTCCATCAACTGTCTTCCAGGACTCTGGTGAGCCGCAGGCACCAGTGGTGCAATAGACACCACTTCTCCACGAGCTCCAGAAAACAAACATCTCCCCGAATCACTCTCATCCCCCAAACGTCGTTTGATTTTAATTTCCCACACAGATCCGCCGCTGTCGCTGATAACCGCTCTGGTCCCCGGTCCGTCGGTGAATTTAGCGTTGAGTGTTCCGCATCCAGGAGACACCGGTTGCGTGAAATGACGCACGAGTCGCCCACGAACGGCATCGTAGCACGACACTGATCCTTTGGAAAATCCTACCAACAATCTAGGAGAAGAGATTGACGTTCGTCAAAGCACTGCTCATCATTAGGATCCCCTGCTTTACTACATTTTAGTTTCTTTCAAATTTCCATCGATTGCAGAACCGCTGACTCCCAAAAACGAAAACCTGACGCGACTGATGAAATTCAGTTGAATTTCGAAAACATCTCGTCCCGAAAAATGTGTCGAGCTTCCATGACAAGAATTCGTCGAACTTCAGTTGAACCTCGATATGTCGAACCCCCCAAGTCGAATGCAAAATGTATGTCAAACTTTTCTCAAGTGCCCATCTGAATGCCTTTCGAAACAACACATTAAAAGCCTCCCATACTCGGATGCTTTCCTCTTCAAATTCTCCAAAACTCGAATTTTTCGGATGCCTGTTTGCCATCATTTAATTTTACAGTACAGTACACCAGAAAGAGTAAAGCGAAAAACGTAAAAATGTGTTTTAAAAAGGAACCGCAAGACTAATTGGGCAAATGAATGCTTGCCTCCAAGTTCAGCATCCCGTCAACTCCTTTATGATGCAATTTAGGACCCATAATATCACCAATTACAATTCCTTGTAATTCTTCATTCTTTTCTCCAACAAAAATGCTGGTGTCGATAACTCGAAATCTCTTGAATTCGAATTTTTTTTAGGTTCCTTGAAGAGTTTCAACTCTACATCGGATACTTTCCACAATTCTCACTTCACAACAATGTGGGATACAGCGTGAGGAGCTTGAAAACCGACCTGGAGCAGTCGGCATTCCAGTCCATACAAGAAACTGATCCGTATTCCTTTGTTTCAGTATTGCCTCCGAGTGCAGAAGATAAGGATTGATTCGCGTTGAAAATCAGGACGAGACCATGCGTCATTCCAACCGCAATACTCCCTCGGACTGCTATGGCCGTCGCTCTACCGGCGTCAGCATGCATCTGAGCAAACGAGGAGATTCATGCGAATAAATTCTGTGAATTGATAATTATTTCCAATCATAATTCTCTCCTAATAATGGAAACCTGCGAGTAGAACATGCGCAACATTCAGAGGATTACGTTACAATTGATAAACGTTACTTGCATACCAAAATTGACAAATCACAGGTCTTCTACTACAGTACTGTAATGAATACATTTTCAGGCATTCAAAAGAAACATGATTTCCTCAAGCTCAACCTCAGTAAAATCCACACGGTTATTCTCTAAGAAATTTAGCTCTTCCGCACAACTGAACAACCAGAACTGCAATATACGTTGTACGAGGAATTGCAATAAGGTGAATTTCCATTATAACGAATCTCGCTGTAACGAAATTTTCGTTATGAGCTCATAACAAACTTTATTCTATAATTTTAGCTTTGTATAACGAATTCTTGCTTTGATTTTGTGTCCATGGGCCAGCATAGAAACATTTTTATGATTGCAAAAATAACAATACGGGAAATGCGAATGAGGGTGCCTCGTTGAAAAATCTCAAAAAATTTAAATGCTACTCTATTTGTGCAGAAAATTTAGAATTCCAGGAAGTATGAAGCTTCAATCAAAATGAATTTAGATTTATTTTAAAATGGCTGATGAAAAAAAAAAAACGAGGCGAGGAAGGATGCTGCTACTGTTCTTAGTGAATAAATGGATTTTCTTTTTGCTTCGGGTCATACATTTTGAGTTTTCTACATTATTCCATGAAACGAGGTTAGAAATTCGGGCAATTCTCCACATATCTGTTGTGGAAGTAATTCAAAGCATCTGTCACCTGTTTTCCACAAAAATTCTATCCTACTTGCTTGAAGAATCACGAATATCGTTATATCTGATTTTTTCTCAGGTCCAGGGAGTTTGTTGTAACGAGATTTTAATGTACAGTATTTCATTCGGGTAAAAAGCCTTCTCAACACTTTACTCAAACTTTTTTCTCTCGCCCAATAACTCCTGCAAAATTCTATAACAGTGCCAAATTTCAAGTTATTCGACGACGTGGAAGTGAGCTCACAGAGGCTGACGAAATCTGCGATGAAATTCCTCGAAAAACTGCGTGTTCCACGACTGAGTTGTCGTCCAACGGCCGAATCGTCTCCGACTGGGACCCATTTCCACCGACACATCCCGTTGACGACTTCGACTCCGCTTCAGACTAGACAAGGTAAAAATTGGGAAAACATTTCGTTTCAAAAATGAGAATAGATGAGTAAAAATTCGGCACAGGCGAACGAAATCATACTCTACTCGTTGAAGGATTCCCAGCGGATTCGAAGAACTCATCGTCGCTCGTCAAGCTTTCGTCTCCCTCTTCCGCCAAAATACTCTCCAAGCTGGGAAGCTTTTGCTCGCAACCCGTCACGTCCTGATCACATAGCTGTTGAAAAATCGTGAAGAATTCGAAGAACACGTCAGAAATTCGTAAGGTTTCTCAAGCAAACTCAAAGTTGAATGAACCTTTTTGAATTACATCAAAAAGAAAAAATTTGAGAGTCGTAGTGTCCAAAGAATGTTCCACAAGTTTTAGCAAGGGAATCAAAACTTCAGCGACTTTCATTGCATTAGAGAAGACAATTTTCAGTTGACGTTACTTGCAAGATTCGCACATTCCCCCTTTTTCGCCTCTTAAACTCATGAAAACTAATAAAGTAATGAAGAACGAAGATTAGAGAATCTGAAGCACACCTCTTGAACGAGCGATGGATTTCCAGCAGCGTCATCATTCAAGATGCTTTCGAGCGTGGGTAACTCCTGTTCGCAGGATTAAAAAGTAAATTTTTTATCATTTCCACCTTTTAAGGTCTGAATTATAATTTACCTTCGATACCGTCGACCAACAATCCGAATCGTCATCGTCTACATCAGACATTTCCGACTCAGTATAAATTCAGTACTAATCCAATCCACCGGAACCTTCAAGGAAAAAACATCAGATTTTCAACGGAATAATTTAGTTCAGAAAAGAAACCCATATCCAAAATAAGTAACAATTCATACTGAAAAAAATGTTTTCTTCTGTCAAACGAATCCCAATGGTAACAGAGGAAATGCACCGAGTTCACCGACGAATTTCGAAGATTGAAAAACTCAAATATTGGTGAGAAAAGTAACAAAAGAAATCATTTGTCAATCGAATAAGCATGATTCCGATATGAATAACATTTTCTCTCCTCCCCATTCAACAGCTTCACGTTGAGGATATTTATTTTCATCCACTTGCACGTGGGAGAATAACACAAGGATATCGAGAATGCACGTAACATTGTGCCAGAATGACAAATGCTCTGTCATCACAAAAGATTAACATTGGTTGGTGCTCTGCCTGACTAGATAACTTTTTAAATTTTGGATCACAAGACCAAATGTTTTCCCGTCTCAAATTCTTTCAACTGCTGAATGATCAAAATAAAGCCTAATTGATTCCTTTTCTGGGAGAACACTGAAAATTCAGAACAAAACAGTGAACTTGAGGAGTATGAAAGTGTTTCAGAGCAACGGAATCAAAGAACCCGTCAACGATCCAAAACACACCGCCCGCGTATAATCAAAAAGAGGCTAATGGCTGATTCAACGCATTCCAACTACAGTAAAAGGACTTTTCGAATCCGTCTGACGAGTCAAAGCAGAATAAAGATCACTCTTAACATTTTTTTCATCAACTAACAATGATCAACGCACGAGAGGATTCGAAAATTTTCGGAGTTGCGCAGATTGTCATCAAATAAAGCAAAATATCAGCCACTTACACGCATTCGAACTGAGCACATCATAATGCGTACAACACATTGAATTGACGCCAATAGCACAGCACTTATTAGCAGTTCAGCGGCATTCTAAAAGACACGCGCGCTCTTTATTAAAAACAAAAGGCTCTTAGAAAATTTAAAATTCTTCATATGAAATCATGAAGTGTTCTAGGGTTGCGTCATTCAGATCAAGAATTTTAATTGAATGGACTCAATATGTCGTTAAAAAGCATAAAAAAGATCATGCTACACTTACGGCCAGTCTCAGTTGTTCGAAAAAAGGTCGTCTTTTACGGAGCTCAAGAACAAGCAAGATTCGTGGCTTTTTTCTTTCCAAAAGGGACCTCAACTTTGAAGTTGCAGTTGCTCACTCAAAACAAACAGGTTCGATTACGCGTTTCAAGTCTCCGACAGCGTAATTCAAACCGCCGAAACAGTTGGTCAAGATCCTAACATTAACGGCGCTCAACGTCGTTCAAGATTCATAACTCCATCCACTGGCACTCGAGAAATCTCGCACGGATCAAGAAAGACACACGCGACAGAATACGCATCAAATTACGGAAGGCAACAAGGGAAGTTTTATGCATTCGACGCTTAGAAAATATTTCCAATTGCAATTAATCAAATCATAGAGAAAAAAGCTTTAGCCTGAACCGAGTCGGAAAACAACTCTGAACACTCCTCTTGGTTCTTGGCTTTCACAAATTTGCTTCCGATAATACCGCTTTGAGCTGGAAAAAAAGCACCACGCTTTCTACTCTTTCCAGAATCCTCGAGAAGTTAGCGCACAGAAGATGCAAAAACGGTACAAGTCAGCAGACCATACCCCATCTTCACAGAACGAAACGAATAGCCGATAGCCATTCACGTAATAAATCCTTCTGCAAAATCCAGTAAAATCCCGTTACAACAAATGTTTCAATATAACAGACTTTTCTCAAGTCCTGGCAGAAAGCCATTATAATACATATTGAAACAATCTTGTAAACGAAGAACTTCCAAATTCCAGTGTAAAAATGTTTGAGGAATGATCAAAAGATTCTCCACGTATACTTTTCATGACTACGGCAGACAGTCTGAAATTTCGGATCCCAAATGTGACTGACTGGTTCTTGTAGCATGGGTGGAAGCTGTAATCAATGAAAAACATTTTTCCAAAACGTTCCAAACATGATCCTCCCAGAATGGAGAGATTGGGGCAACTGCTGGAATGCATGATTGAAGCTAGTTATTTTTTAAGAAGATCAATTAGTTTTTCAAAAAATCATAAGAAATCGGAGAATGCCAGAAAAGCAAGATATAATTGATTAAAAGCAGGTCTGAAGTGAATTTTTTCCCAATCATTAATTTTGAAAACATCGTCATAACAAATTATTCAGCATAACGAACTTTTTCTGAAGTACGCAGAAGTTATAGTAACGAGATTTAACTGTACAGAGTAAGAAAAAAAATCAAGAAGTACAGCCGGAGTTCTTCGAAAAAGCGAAATAGAACCGACGAAGCATTCAGCATAGTACAAACATCCTGGTCTCTTGTTCAAAGCACAGCCACGCCTGCTTCCGAGCGTGAGTCGGGCAGCGACGCAATCGTGGTCCACGCACAAGTGGAAGGATCGAACACCTCGACATCCGATAGAGTGACTTGGGCCCGATAAAAATCCACCACTTCCATCGTCCGCTCACCGCCAATGACAAACAGCCGTCCATTCGCAGCCGCCACTGCTGGATTGGCTCTGCCCTGGTTCATGTCCGGAACGAGTTCCCACGTACCCTGATAGAAAAATGCGACAACTTCAATCAACCTTTTTCAACACTGGAATCACAGGGAAATACCGTACAGCAAAATATCGTTACAACGAACTCCCAGGGATCAAATAAAAAATTCGTTACATATGTACTTGTGGTTTTTAAAAATGTTAGACCACAATTTCGTGGGAAATGGGCAATGGATCCTGTAAAAGTTCGAAGTGCTTCTACTACAAATAATTCCGAGACCTTTCATAATTTTCGAGTCTCTTTTATGAAATTAAGATAAACATTTATAAAAATATACCTGTAGTAATTCTCCTTTTATGGAACCTGTCCTCCTACTACAGTGCCATTTGTCTTCAAAAATATAATAAAACAAAAGTACGTGTGCGAGAAGTACAGTAAAATCTCGTTACAATAAATACCGTTAAAATTATTCAGTATAAATAACTTCTTCCGAAGTCCCCAAAAGTTTTTACTGTAGTTCAAAAAAAAAAAACATACATACACCGTAATACAGTCCAACAGTGTAAAATATTTCCACTAAATAGGTTAGTGCGCAGAAGAACAGTTTTCAAAAAACACGCAGTCAAAGAAAAAACGTACCTCCTCGAAAGAATACCGTTCAACACTCGCCAGCACCTGGGAGTCCTTGTTGGTCCCTCCGACGACGTACAAGTGATCCTCGAGAACGCAGACACCCATTTGACTTCTCGGCACTAACATGGGTGCTAAATCAGTCCATTCATTCGTCACCGGATTGAAAGCTTGCAAATCTTTCACGTGTCGTCGTCTCTGCGTGCATCCGCCGACCACATACACAAGCTCTTGATGCGCCACCACCCCCATGCTGAATCGACGTGCAGGCATTTCTCCGAGCATGGACCAAGAATCAGTTTCCGGACAATAGCATTCTATGGAACCCCCGAGGTCTTCCCCGACCCAGCCGCCGAAAGCGTACAACGAAGAGCCAAAAGCACAGAGCCCGAATTCGCAGCGGGGAACAACCATCGGGGACACGGGAATCCATGCGTTCTCCGCGGGGTCGAAGCACTGCCATGAGTAAATACCGATACGGTAAACCCTCGTTACAACGAATCATTCATTATGACAAACTCGTGCCAACAAACTTTTGTCGTATCCAGAGTTTAATCAAGACTTGAGGAAAAGTTGAGTACCCAAATTTTGTTGGGGACGCTAGTTTCGAGAGTACATTCGTGCTTGGTCCACGAACTGATCATTTCGCGCTTCGCACGTCGGAATTCATGGAAAACTTCCCTAACTCGAAGGCTCTCTCTCAAATTTTTATACCTAGAATTTTCTCGTGGGACTCGGGGCTACTGACACGCAATAGTACAAGTAACGATGTGTTTAGAAATTAAATGAAAGACTAATCGGGCCACAGAACCCTTACCTCAAAGATCAGCATCCTGTTAACTCATTCAAGACGACATTCAAGACCCAGAATATCATCGATCACAATTTCCTGTAATCCTTTCCTTCTTCCTACAAACAAAAATGCTTGTTTTTCAAATTCCAAACCTCCCTAACTCAATTTTTTTAGCTGTTCCCTTGCAATTCGACTTCAAGAGGTTCGACTGCAGTGAAACGGGACGGCGCACGTCAGAGGAATTAGAATACGAATAAACTTACCTCGCCGTTCGCCAGTATTTGAGAATCCTGTTCTCCCCCGAAAACGTAAATTTTACGGCCGAGAACGCACACTCCCGGATGGATTCTGCCCAATTCCATAGAACAAATCTGGCGCCAAGGCGAGTCTAAAGACGATGCGTCCAGCGCCATGACAGTTTCGAGAGTGCATTCGTGCTTGGTCCACGAACTGATCATTTCGCGCTTCGCACCTCCGAACAAATATATTATTTTCCTCGCACACGCTCTCGGTTCCACATTCAAATTGACTAGCGATCCTCTTCTGGAAACAAAGTCGTTTATCTGTGGAGAAGAATGGGAATGCTGTACGATACATTCACATTTACGGAGTCTGGTGAGAACATCCAAAAACCGACTTCTGAATCTAAGAAGTATTTTCTCGAAATAATCTCGTAAAATTAAACGCATACATTTAACGATTTCCTGCTCAATTATTCCACGCTTCAGTTTTTTTCTTTCTTCACATTCAGAGTTCATTTATATGTTGGGTTCAGGGAATGGATTAAATTCTTCTGCATTGAAGTCTATGGGAAAATCAAATTCGGTCAACAAAATTTTGTCAGGGACCAATTAAGTTCGTTAACCACGGATCCGCCGTACAAGTAATTTCTGGTCAGTTTGCAGACAATCTAAAAAAAAGAGAAAGAAATTAAGCAGACAGAACAGCCTTACCATGCTTCTCACAGCAACGCGTAGACTAGCATCCGTCTCCTTCTCAGCACATTCTTCCAAGACTTTCACAGGAATTAGTGGGAATCTCACACGAGGTAGGAGGTCAAAAATATATCGACGTCTTTCTTCTAAATCTTTCCGGAACCACGCCATCGCTCCATTCAGAACCTGTGCTTCTCCGTCAATCCGCAGATTTTCCGAGTTAATCAACCGGTTGATGACTTTCACATCCGCGTCTAGGAACTCTTGTTCTGCTGTTAGAAGCACGAAATGTTCACAGGCGTACGCAAATGCGGCGTCTGCCAGCATTGGACAATCGTGGACCTCGGCAACCCGCAGGATTCCGAGACAGTTGCACGGATCCAGTTCGCGTTTGAGAAAATCAGAACACGAGAGAACGACCTGACGGACTTGCATCATGTCGGCTGTCTGAAGCAAGTCGAGAACTCCATCTTTGTCCACCTATAAAAGCATCACACATCGCTCGTATAGTCGCAATAAATAAAATTAAACGCTCGTTCAACAAAAATTGACATTAAAGGAAAGCTGATGCACAACCACAAGAACATGGGCATACAGGATGGGCAAGTAAAAAAAAACAAAGGCCACTCAAACTGAGGTACCGCAGAAAAAAAGCGATAAAAAGAGCTAATTTCCGAACCGATTGCCATCTTAGACTACTTCAACTCTTAGAGCAGTCATGTAATTTTGGCCGCGATTCACAACCGTGCCTGAAATTAAATTCCACCAGAAGGGGAATGATGGCCTGGTAGATTATAATTTGAACAGCTTCCATTCTCTCTGATAATCGCAGTTATTTCCAAGATTTGAGAAGATGTCGGTCACATTGCCACATTAATCCCCATCAAATATTTTCAAAAATCGACTGTACAGAATGTTTGGAAGATGTATTTGATCGTGCCTGTGTCATTCTACCAAAGGCTGCTTGTAGTATTTTGCATATTTTCTTTTGTATTTCGCTTACAGAAGATCATTTGAATGTTTTGAAGCATTTTCAGCATTTTTTTTGGGGTATCCGAATAAACCAGAAAACTTATTTCCTTCACTGTCAAAAAGGTCGTCACCGGTAATCAATTTTCTTGTCACTTTGTTGGAAATTTGAGTACCATAGAATCCCGTTACAACGAATGTTTTCTTGATTCCAGCGATTTTTACATACAGTAGGCGCAATTTTATAAAAATATTTTGTTGAACTTATTTCTGGGTGCTATCTCCGCTAAACAATATGTTGGCCCTGATTCTATGCAAAGGTCATAGGAATTACTTGACAAATGGGACAAAAATTGAACTGGTGCAGAATTCCAACTTTATCAAAGAAGAAAAATTTCGATAGAAAAAAGGTGGTGTTCGAAAATAACACAACATGAATAATTCTGGGAAATTCTCTAGCTCCATTTCAGAATGTACACCTTTCTGATAAATAAACAGTACGTTGGAAAGAAGTTTCAATCGGGTATTTTCAGGAAGGGTATTTTTTACACATTTCCCAATGCGTTGAAAATACGTGGATCTCGATACAACGAATCGTTTTTTTTTTTTTAGTTGGTCTCTGAGAGTTCGTTTCAACGAGATTTTAGTGTATGTACCTGCACTTCCCCGGAATAGATGAAGTCCAGGATCCGGCGGAAAGCGTCTGTGGAAGACACTCCGAAAATCTCCACGCGTTCCATCTCTTTCTCGCGCAGACGGCCGCCAAACATGGCGCGGAAGTAAGGGCTGCCGGCTGCAAGGACAACCCGATGCGCGGGGAAATCCTGGCCGCCAACAACCAGCACGACATCACACAGACTGGACTCCATTCCATTCTTACGCATTTCGTCCAGCTGCTGGAGAAGGCCAGCTGAGTAAAGGCCGTGGGTGAACCTCGTGAGCGGTTTCCACGATTTGGCGCCTTGAGAATTATTATCTTCTTCACTCACTTTATCCATCACTCTCACAAATAAAAAGCTCTCCCCTGTCAATAGCAACAGACAAACCTTAGGCATCGGCGCACAAGATCAACAAAAAGCGTCGGTGACCTTTTTCAATAAACACGAGCGCAGTTGTCATTAAACGAAGTGTCAGTACAAACGTTCGTAAAACGCACGAGGGGTGGTCTTCTGCTTTTCATGGTCAAATAGGAACAATACTTTTCTCATGAATTCAAGAATTCCCTGATAACTCTTCCGATTTCTGTTCATTCTGGTTAATTCCGATAGGAGAGAAATTCGAAAAATCTTCCCACCCTTGTGCAGAAGTCAAGTTTACACGTGTGTTCTCACAAATTTATTTGAAACTTAAAATAACTTCAGGTATAAGCCTGTACCAAAGGAGAAATACTCTTGCAGTTGATGAAGGTAAATGTGAGGATTGCCGTAAAATCTAAGCAAGAAAATGCCGAAGACATACCTTGAATTAGAAAGGAACCTTCATTTCAACTTATACACTTGGTAGAATAAGGACTTGAAAATCACACTTGCTTTCGTAGAGAGAACACTGAACAATATCCAAGTGAAGCCGCTTTATGAAGCCCTTTGCACAGAAGGTTTCATGCATAATCCAAAAAGATTGTTCAATTATTTCAATACTCGGATGAAATTCACATAAAAGACACCCCTATGGTCAGAAATTTACATTAACCTTGATGATCAATGAAAATCCGCTCGTGAGCACGGTTTCATGACACTATGCCAAATTAAAAACGTCACCGTACCTTCAATCAATCAAACGACAGGGATAAATTCCAATATTGGTCAGTGCATTCGGGAACATAACTCAATAATGTATCATGCCAGAAAAAATACTCTTCGAAAGACATAAAACCGAAGTCCAACACATCAAACTCAACAAACGAAAAACACCAGCATATCGCTTCTTGTATCACTGGCTCAACTGTATCACAGCAAACATTCATCGGACAATTCACTGGGAAAAAAGATCGTGACCAGTGCATCATCGAGTATTGCTCGAGCTTGATCACCGTTCAATACGGGAAACAATTGTACGTTTCCTTGTATATACAGTACTCAACTAATGCGCAAAAATAATAATTCCAAACCACGGCTGGCTACACGAAATTTGTTCCGATTCTATTGTTGCAAAAATCACTACAGTATTTCATACATTGCTTGCATATTCTGCTCCATTCTCGACTGTTGATCACAACGTAATTCTCCCATCTGGATTATCTTTTCTACCCTATACATTGGTTTCCCAATCACCCATCAATAGCAAAATGGACTTCGAACTTGGATTCTCATAACTGACCACAGCACATCGCATTCTTGGCATCCCGAACAATCTCAAAACTTTGTTCACACACACTTAAATTTTTAGAATGCTCCTTACGTGCACTTGAAACACATTTGGATCTTGGCTAGCAGAACGTGCTGAAAACATTTTCTCAAAAAGGAGAAATTCAATGTAATTATGCTACAGCGGGTCATTCAATTACCTCAATTCCACAACAACAACAAAAAAAACTTATCGCCGAATGCGAATTTTGTGCTTAAGAAATGGACAGAAATTAAAGCTCAGACAATATTTCGGACAACGTACAATCAGCTGAAAACACTTCAAGGAAGAAGTTTTGGCTGCTTGAACTTCCACCGTTGACCAGGAACGGACGGATTGCACTCACGCATCAACACACTGTCTCCAGGGCGCAACCCAGTCGAGTCAATGCAGAGACCAGATTCTTTATGTTTCAGCAATCCCGTGTTCTACAGAAAAATATAACGAATTTTGGTGAGAGTTGGAACTCGATAACTGGAATCTACCAATGTCAAATTTTTTCAAGTCCCCGTCCGAGTCCCCTAAAACACAATGCATTAAAAGTCTTCCCAACTCGAAGGCTTTTCTCCTGAAAGCTCCATAACTCAAATTTTCTGGAGGCTTTTTGGCAATTATTTCATTGACACAGGAAAGACAAAAACAATGAACTCGATGCACTTAGAAAAGAACTGAAAGTCTAGTTAGGCATTTACTCCAGGTTCAATATCCTGTCAACTAATTTAAGAAGAAAATTAAGGCCCAGAATATCACCCACTACAATGTCCTGCAATTCTTATTTCCCAACGCAAATGCTTGTTACACTAAGTGGGAACCTCCTTCATTGGAATTTTTCTACTCGACCCGCAAAGCTCGACTTATAGAGGTTTGACTGCAGTTGAAGAATCTTCCGCCTCACCTCGTCGTAGTCCCACAGATGTTCTGGTTTTGGCTGCATGTCCGACTCACATGATGTCATCTGCAGCGTATTAGCGCGCATTGTATTATTATAGTCGCCAAGGACCCCACAAGTACCTTCTCTTCTGAACACTCGTGTTTTCGAGTATGCAACCAACTAAAAATATTAAAAAAGGAAAATTTCAAAGAACTAACGGATGGTGAAGTCCATGAGCTCACCTGATTCATAGTTAGCCCGTCATAGCAATAATAAACACCAACAATGAAGGTCGTATCAACGTGCTGCTCTCTGTTCAAGGCATCCAGACACAAGCGACCCATTTCTTCCACATTCATCAACTACGAGAAAACATTTGAAAATGAAACTGAATGAACTGCAGTATTGGTTTTATTTTTTTAGTGCTCACTGTTCCAAAGAAAATTGATTGCTCGTCGAACACGTACTTCTGCGGCATAACGTTCTCCAAGTACCAACGAAAATCGTTGCACTTCAACTTATTTCTAACCAGCGTTCGATTCGTCAAGTCACCCACTTCTTTCGTCCTCAGAGACGGGCTCGCCAAGTAAAGGAACCGGATGAAATCATCCATCCAAACCCTCGCCATTCGAACGGTATTGATCCCGTGTGAATCCACGTTCCCAGGAAAGGTGTATGGGTGGAAGTCGCGAAAAATGTGGCCCACGACGGAGCAGGGAATTGACTCGAGTATCCCGCCGCACATCCACGTGCGGAAGGCCAGCTCAAGGTTTTCCCCGCCCCAAATAGTCATGCCTTCATCGTAAGATCCGATTTCGAAGAAGAAGTCTCGACCAACGGCCAAAAGACCACCTGCCATCGTGGGCGACCTGAAGGAAAACATGTGATTTTCTCTTTATACAAAAAAATTACTCCGAACGCAGAAACATACACGTTGAAGTAATTCTTTCACAAAATCAATCCCGAACAGTTCGACTTCAACGCCTCACAACCAAAACTCCCGTGATCATTTTCTACACCACAAACGTGTCTCCTGAATTCCAACATGTTTGAAAATTTCAAGTTATGCTAGAAAGAACGCATCAGGTCAAGCTAGATGGGTTTCTATCAATCGAAATCATATGAAGTTATTCTCGATGGTTTCCGACTAATCCCGAAGTCGATATTAAGACGAGTCTTCCTTAAATTTCAGAACGCAAAGGTAGGCATTAAAAATCAAATTCGATGTTCACTTTCGAGGCTTGTATTAGTAGGATTACAGGAAAATAGTTTCGGAAATTCCTTCGTCTTTGTTGGAGAAAAAGTATTCAAAAAATGACATATTTGTTACTATCCGATGGGCTTAATTTGGGTAGTTGGTGCACTGACATTTGTTGGTGTGAACCCTTAAAACCCTTGCGCAACAGCTTGTATAAAAGCGCGCACCAGAACTGACATACGCAAGACTGCAATTTTCTTGAGAAGACGCCGCGACAAGCAAAACCGACTAAACTACATTCAGTTCTGCTTGTTTTGCGACAAGCAAAATCGACTCATTTGTGACCATCCGGAAAATCGAGAGCATTATTTTCCTTTTAGAAGCTATTCGGCGCCTACTGTGAAGGGAAGCTAACCTCATTCCGGGAGTCCGAAAAAAAGTGGAATTTACGAAGAATACGAAAACTTCTAAAAATAGTTGTAATTAGCATTAAAAGGAGAAAAGAACGTTGTTGGTCAAATTAGAACAGTTTCCCCCAACCCTTTTTGGCCTGCGGACAGGCAAATTGCCATGAAATGTTTTGCGGACTAGCAAATTTCCTTACAATTGCTCGCGGACTGGCAAACTTCAATGAAATTTTTGCACACCAGGAGACATTTTTGGTAATACTGTACTTCACCTGCCATAAAGTCCTTAGCTATAGGGGGTATGTCTTCAGAAGTTAGAAAACTGAGCTGAGCTGCAAAAAAAAAGTTCTTGGAAGGAATTCTTGAAAAAATTTATTTCAGCAGGCAAAAATGAATCTGAAGTTGTCATTAGGACAAAAATGAAATTTTATTTATCATCAGATAATGTCAACTGCCTTCGTTCTCTTGAAGGTTCAGATAAAGATAACAGACTTCATTACCTTTGATAAGGAAAATTTCCCAAGGACCGGCAAAAAACTTCTGCTGCCCACAAGTTGCAGACCACTGATTTAGAATAGAAAAAAATTTGCTCAGCGTTAAATACGCTGAGCTAATTTTTTAATATTCTACAGTATACGCATAAAATCTTCTCACTATTCTTTCAAAAACCCCGGAATTTTCGATCTTTGAGCAGAAGGAACGTCTGTGACAAACCTGACAGGCATTATAGGATCTCCACGCCTTCTCCTCTGCTCACTTTCAATCGGAGTGATCCAAGTGAAATGACCGCTCCACGTGAAACCTCCAACTTGACTACTATCTTGCGGCGTTTGAGGATAAGCCAAAGTCTTGTCATCAATGGAACTAATGACCGGGACCAGGACAACATTCGTCTGATCCTTGATTCTCTGCAGCAAAGGCTCCAGCCATCCTTGGTTACATTCGCAGTGGGCATCAAGAAAAACCAAAACATCTCCTTTGGCTGCAAGAGCACCACGGAGTTTCGCCCGCACAAGGCCATTCCTTTCCAGCAACCGCAGGATCTTCACCTTTGGCGGCAAACGGGTGCGAACGTAATACTCCAAAAATCTTCCAATATGTGCTGAAAAAATTCCAAGTGTAATTCAACGATCACAACATAGCAACCGAGAACATTTACAGCAAAATCAAATCACACGTCTGAATATTCCTAAAAATTGGAAATTCGTACGGGCGTCACTCAAGTCGTCGACAAGGATAACTTCTTCCAAATGATGCGGGGATTTGTCCAGAACGCTGTACACGGTTCGCATCAAACTCGACCATGCTTCATTATTGAACACCAAAATCACAGATGCGGATGGAAGCGATGCGTCGTAATGCACAGATTTACACCTGAATGAAATCGAAACATAAATTTTCAAGCGACCCGAAGATTCAACAGATCAATTTGTATGGATAGATTTTACTACGCGGTCAAAGAAAAATAAAGAGGGCCCCCAACAAGCGGACGCCCCGAAGAACGGAAAATTTGACTTAGGGACACTCGATAACTCAAAAAATCTGCCCTGGCAAGATACTAACGTTTCACTACCATTTCGAGGCAAATGGAAGAATTGTATTTTTCAAAATTTCGATAACTCTTCAACAAATTTAGCTTTTTATATTCAAACGAAATTGTAATGAAATTTCATTATTAATTGGTAATTTCATTATCAATTCATAATCCAAAACATGCTAATTTTTTAGCTTTCTTTGCGAGTTCTTTACATCATGTCATGATAACAACGAAGCAACTGAAAGACTACACAGTACAGGAAACCTTTTGCTTTTTCTTCAATTTTTGGGCTCCTCTTCAAGATAAAAAATTTTACCCTGCGTGTTTTTCCTGGTCTCGGAAGTTGAAAAATTGTTTTATTCGATTTTTATGGGACTTTTACTACATGTTGGATCACGTTTTCCCGTAGGCTACAATGGGAAAATACTTAATTGGTTCTTCTGCTAGTCAAAAATATGGATCAAGTCCCTCAAAAATTTTAACATCGTAATTTTTTCCAACTTCAATGTACGGAAGAAAAACCACAAAAAATTCGCAGTTTTGGCATGAAAAGACGCCTAAAACGCGAAGAACAAGCACATTTATCGTTACATCTTTCAGTTGATGAAAAAAAACCCTGAAAAGATAAATAGAAAATTATCTCGTTTATGATCATGAATTGAAGTAAATTTATGTTGAGATTTATTTTGAAGTTTTGTGAACATAATTAGGTGAATTTTTAAAATGTTGATGGCGTCAGTATCACGAGACATGGTCCGGTTGTCGAGCAGACTTTTTTTTATATGTTAGTGTCCCTAAGTTGAATCGTCCGTATCTCGGGGTCCCATCATACAATACTGTACAGCGACAAGTCAGAAACGTGAAATACTCACTGAGGTAAACGAACATCAGGCACGGAGCGGTTCAATGGAATCCGATCACTCAGGTATAAATTAAAGGCAGCCTTTTTGCCAATAGCATCTGCTTCTTCCTTCTCCTTGCCCACCAATTCTACTCCTTTTCCGAGCTCTCCAAATCCAGGAACAATCTTACTCTCCCTTTCCTGAATTTGCTCTTCGAATTTCTTCACCTCTTCCGATGAAAATGCGTACGCCGGGTCGTGAACATTCAGCAGTAACTGCGTTGAAACATCCAGCGATGGTTCAGGAATCGGCTCGTGATTTCGATCGAAGTGCCACTTATTTGGGTTCTTGTGTTGCGGTATCGACGGGTCACTCGGTCGATGGGAAATAATATGATCAACGTACAAATACAAAGAGCACAATGAGATCAACAGCAGGAGTTTTTGGCGACCTCGACGGCGAGGCAGGAAGGACGTCACTCCGGGACACCATGACCGCGACACGGGAATCTTCAAACGAAATGGATTTGACATCCTTCGACGAGTACACGATTTAAACCTTCTGAAAGGAGAAAAATGTTGATCAAAGCAATCCCATCAATGCCAATACCAATCATTCATCTCACTGTTCCACACCCGTCGGACTTGGAAACTTCATTCATTTCACCTGATGCAACACAAAATTAATCGTGGATCCTTGCAAACTGGAATCCATTCCCCACAAAAAAAAAAAAAACATAAAACAAACCCCTCGAAACAATTCCATCCCCAGATAAATAATAAAAATTGGAATTAAAAATAAATTATACGACCTTGAACAATATTAACACAAATGCTAACCGTCTAACATCACATCTTCAAAATATCTAATAGTTGCTGCGTCGCAACAATGCACGGAAATGGACATGATTCAAGCACACGAAATGGTCACATTCACGTCATTACAGGAAGCAACGCAAGATAACGATGACAAACATAAAGAAATGTTGATACAATTTTTTCGAACTCTGTTACAACCAGGGAATCATTCTCGCTGAATCCAAGATGGTTTCAACGAAAAATATCATCGGCTCAAAGCAGGAAATATAGGAAATACTGCTCAGTACTGAAAATTGAAGCTATGTTTGAACTCTCAAGTCAACTAAGATTAAATTTGTTGCATTCATCAATCCCTGAATTCACCTCAATAGGCTCGAGGGCACAGTTTTCTAAGAACGGGGGATGTTTCTATTAGAAAACATCGTCCGAAGAAACGCACGGAATTTTTAAAACGATCAAATCGAATGGCAAGCCATCGGTCACTAACGCATCATGAAACAGATTCTGTGGACTGGACGAGAGCAATGCGAACATCTTTGAAATTCATGATTGGGTCAGTAGGATAAAAAAAAACAGTCGAATAAAATTTCTGGCAATTAGAGTTAAAAAAAAAAAAAAAAGAAAGCCTGAACCCATTGCGAGACAAATAAATAAGGTCAAACATGAAAGCCTGGAATCGAACGTGAAAATGTTTCCGCTTTTCCTCACTGCTTGGTAAACACTTCCGTTAAACTTATTTTGGAAAAAGCGAACAAAAAACAAGTTCAACAAGAGATCTGCTCATTCAGTGTTGGAGACATGAGCAAATTAAAATCCACTAGTACAGCCCTGCACAAGCTGCTGTCACCTCATCTGCGAGAAGCAGGAATGTTTCATAAGCATTTTTCACAATCCAGACGTAGGAGTTTCGTACATGAGCGTGCACTACAGGCCACCAAATCAAGATCCATTCCCAGATTCTTCCGAAAAACTCTCGGATATTCAGTTCAACGAACTTATCACAAACCCACCTCCAAGACTGCACCGCGGAATGCTGAACAATCTCCACATATTCGCTGATCACTTCAACGGAGCTCTGAATATCCCGTGAGTTCCAAGTTTCATACACCCAGTTTGTCAGATGAAATAACTTTTCTTTGGAAAGCACGAAGCACGCCAGAAGCTGAACATGTACTTCATCGAAAACTTCAGTGCACGTTTTCATGAGATTTTCTCGCGAATAGTCGCCACCCGCACTCACTAGCAAAACGCTGACGAAGAAGACGAATGCCAAAAGCGCTAGAATCATGACTGCTTTCAACAAAAAGATAATCCATGAACCTGCAAGAAAAACGATAAACTCACAATTCATTACCAGATGATGCAATAAAATTCGACTGACTTTTACTTCTGAAGTTTTTCGGGATTCAAAAAAAGTTCACCTTCGAGATTAGCTTGTCCTCCTTTACTCTAATAATTTAATTAAAATCAACTGAAAAAAACACGTAAATTGCGCTGAGAACATTGAACTAACGTCGGTTTCTTTTCGTTGAGTCAAGAGATTTTAATTTGGACTCCAGCGAAAATTAAATGTACAGCAGAGTAACTTTAATTCATCCAAAAATACACCAGATGATGTAATAAGACTAAGAACAACGTGATACTGTGAAAGAATGCTTAGGATCGATCTCCACATGAAAGAAGGAAATACTAATAACAGTTCCGCACCTCTAACTGGTTGGGCATCACGAGCAACGCCATTCTGAAATGCGTGTGATACTGGCTTAACTTGATGATTTGATTGTACTTGAGCGCGGTTCTCCATGGCACGCTTGTTATTGGCTTGTGCTTTCTGCTTCTCCTTTGCCACTTTCTTCTCTTGCAGGCGCTTTGCTTCTTCGGCTTCAGCGGCCTTCTTTTCTTTCAACTCTCGTTCTGCAAAAAAATAAATAATTGTATTTCACCTCATGTGACGCACAGCGCGACACTTTCGAAGCACAGAAATAAGAAACCATCCCTCTCGATAAACACGACTAATATTTGTCTCCTTACACTCCATCTACTCATTAGGAAAGTACAATTTCCGGCAAACAAACACTAGAGTGTCAAAATCGGCTGAAAATTCAGATGGAAAACCATCTTTGAAGACCGCGCTTGCTTCTGGTGATACACGGTAATTTCAACAAGCCAAAATGTATCGAAGTGACGAAAAACTCAGAAAGACAACGCATAATTACTCACGTTTAACCGAACGAAAGAGGTGATCTGGACAAAACTGGAAAATTTTAGTGCAACTCATGAAGCGTTTCAATGCTTCTGCACATTATACTTTCAAATTATTCTTCGTTTCACTGAGTCACTCTTTCTAACTTTATTTTTCCATTTCTTTTTTCTTGTTGGCAGTCCAAAGCTTTCCGGAATTCTGTTTCAACTGCTTCGCTTGTAATGGTTTACAGCTGGCCGGAGTGCAAGGCTTTCCAGCCTTTTAGGCAAATGATGATTAAACAAAAGAATACTTTTAAATCGCTGACAAGACTTTATCATACACCAACTAAAAGCGCTCAAACGCACGTAAATACAGTATCACAAAAACTGATTATTCTACACATCAGATTTGTTACGTTCAGCGGCTGAGGACAATTCAACCAGAAATTCAAGTGAAATGCATTCAACTGCGAAAGTCATAACAATCGTGGATCCAGGAATCCACAAGTAAACCCAACACGTCCCAGATTTTCAAGTCCAACTCGATTTTCTACTCACCCTCATGCACTAAAATACGTTTTTTTTTTATTCTCTCACTGGCGGAATGATATACAAATCGATACAGTCGAAAAACGATAAGCCGTCAGAATTTGTTCGTGAGTTTTGCGACAGTTCAACGGGCTTGCCGGTTTAAAGGGAGTTGGTGCTACATCAAAAAAGCTAAAATAATATAAAAATTAGTTATACTGTAATGGGAAATAAAATTCTTATTCTTTTAGAAATTAATCAAAATAGGCCTGGGGTGCGTAAATTAAATCTAGCTAATGTTTCCAAGAAGTACATTGTGTCACCTTTGTGCTTGTGCTCTTTAAAAATCAGAAACCTCTCGCGGAAACTTGAATCTCGTTCGCGGGCTATCGAAGACAAAAAATATTGAAGGAAGCATATTCGATTTCTCATTAATTTTGGAGGATGGTGTTTTAACGGGGTTTCCAATGCCTTCATCATTAAAAATGACTTGTTTTTCAAAATTAATTGGCGGTTGCGTGGGTGGCGGTTTATTGGGGGCATCTTAACGGAATTTGACTACAATACTGACCTCGCTTTCTAGTCAACTCCTCTTGCTTTTTCCGTTCGTTGTTACTCTGGACTTCCATCATATGTTCAACAGATTTTTTGGCAGCCGCTTCACAACCTCTCGATGTTGCACATAGCGCCGCTACATCTTGAAGTTTTTTATCAGTCCAGTTATTATTTTTGAGATCGACCCACTTAAGCTTCTTCAAATTTCCAAACGTCGGCGGAAGCGTCAGTAACTGTCAAATGAAAAGAGAAGCTCGTTAAAACTTCATAATTTCAACGCAAGCCACAAAGCTAGATCATCTTACTTTGTTTGAATATAAGTCGAGAAACTCCAGGTGCTGTAATCGATCAATCGACGGGGGTAAAACTTTTATATGATTCTTACTCAAATCCAATCGCGTCAAACGCAGGACTGAGGCGCAGAAATTATCCTGTAACGTCAAAAGAGGGTCAGTTATTCTTCCGCTAATGAACAGAAAAGCGAAAAAGTCGTCTACTCACGGGCAACCGTTCCAGGTAATTATTTGAGAGATCCAATTGACGCAAACTTTGGATTTCTTTCTATGGAAAACATAAGAATCAGTGAATGGAAAACCGCAATGAACCGTAAGAGGAACTTACAAGCTCTTTGCACGGAATATCCGCGTCGCGCAGTTCCCTCAGACTTAAATCAAGAGAGCCATCATTCATCTTTTTTCTCAAAGCAATTGCGGAAAAATCGCGTTGCGTCATGGTTGATCAGAAACAAATGTGAATAAATCTGCCGGGATTATTTAAAAAAAATTTCTATCAACTAGCTACAAAAACACACAAACACTTGAATATTGAGCACCAAAAACATAAAGGTCCTTCCTTGAGCAGCACGTCGTCATGGAAAACCATTCGAATAAATAAAAAAAAAAAACCCGAAGATGGGAAAATTCAGCACACTCGGCGTTCTTAAATAAATGTTCATATCACAACACGATTCCTTCCGTTCTCGATTCTTAAGTCAGCGTTGGATTTTCAGCATTGACCAACGCACGACGCACAAGATTCTAGTAAGATCTGAAAAGTAAATACACGGTCAATTCATAAAGACAAATCACGATTCGAATCATAGATTTCAATCGAAAAAATTAGAACTCGAACGTTTCGTGGACTTAATTCATCATCACTCTTCCCCACCTCCGACTAGTTTTGGAACACGTTAAAAATCGATTCCCACCGGAGTTCAGCAAAATTTTTCAAAGCAGTCGAAATTTTCAAAACAAAATGATTTTCTGAAAACCAGAAGCGACGGAAGTTCTTTCGCATACATTTTGCCCACGAAACGTTAGATTTTGTTATCCGAAATGAACAGATACCACCCCTTGCACAATGGCAGAAGGCAAAAAGCAACTCTATTCTTCCTCGTCGTGAAGAGAAAATATCGAAATGGCAGCTGCCTGACAACTGGCCAAACGTTCAGTCTCTCCACATTTCGAAAGAAATGCGGGTCACAAGGCATTCAAATACGCACAAAAAAAACAATCGAACAGTAAATGTTGAGGAGAAGAAATCACTTCCACACGCATTACCCAATGAACTAGATCACAGGAACCAAACGATCATCGAAGATACAACTGAGTAAACGAGTCCCATCAAGTAGCCCTAAAATGTAAAGCTGCTCATTTTCAGAGCCTACGGATAACGTGTCTGAGCAGATTGAGATCTCTGGTCACCTTGTTCGTTTCCCTTAGAATTAATTTCACTTCAAACGTATAGCTCCACCGCAAGGTATTCGGACTAATAGCGTTTATACAAAAAGGCCCCATGCCAAGAGAGGCTTCAAGTTAGACATGAAAAGTGAAAGCTGCCTGTTTCATCATGACGGCTTGGCTGCTTCCTTGGTTGCAATGATTAGTGGCGTCAAGCAACTCAACGGCAAAGCGCACTTCATGAACGGATGCTGGAAACAAAAAAGGGCGAGAAATATGAAATTAATTGCAATCCAAGAGTAGGCATACAAGAAAACACAATAAACGCAGCAGAAAATTTCGAAATACTGTACTAGTTTTGAAAAAGATACAAAAGTATTCGTCAAAATACCGAATGCGCCCTCGAGTATGACCAGGTTTTCTGTTCTTAAAATTTAGATAAAATCCTATCCACAAGAATTACACGCAGCCCAACTTTAGTGACTAAGAAGGACGAAATTTTTTCAAGAAAATCTATCAAAATCAAACCAGCAAAATATTCAAAACATTAACTTAAAATAGTTAAAATGAACTCAAATTTAATCAATCTTGCAATTTTTCCATTGAAAATGATTCTTTGTGGCAATTTGTTATGAATTTTCTTTACAGATGAAGTACTACGAGCATCTAAACTTATAAAAGCGCCCCTTTTTTCGCAATCGATTTTGAAAAAAAAGGTGCATGTGGTACTCAAGCAAATGCGAGAAATAATTCTCAACAGGGTAGCGTTGGTCGAATAAATAAAAAAGAAATCATGGGAAGAAATCTCATGCGGATTTCATTCCTAACTTGCGCACTGAATTAAATTCAGGTCGGGTCAACGATACTTTTATGCAGATAGCCAACTAGAAAAATACCTGTAGCAAGGAAGTCGCATCGCCACGTTTCTCCACCTGCACCTCAAGACACTTGTCCAGGAAGTCCTGGAAAACTGGCGACAATTTATGCTTGTCATTGATTTCGGGCTTTCCGTTCGTGGCGATGAGATATAAGGCCCGCAGGGGGTTCTCGTTGAGATACGGTGGCTCGCCTTCGATCATCTCAATAGCCATGATGCCCAGGGACCAAATGTCGACTTTCGGGCCATACTGCTTTCTCGTAACCACTTCGGGGGCCATCCAGTACGGCGTCCCGACCATTGTTGTGCGTTTCGATTGCTCCATCGACAGTTGGGCGCAGAACCCGAAATCGGCTGCGAAGACGGCATAACGACAACTTAATCTCTATTTTCCTTCGCTTGTCGATCACATGATGCACGACAAAGATTCTCTTCATACAAATTTTAAGTCCGAAAAACAAAACAAAACATACTGAGCACGTCATCCGAAACGAGGAATAAAAAACTGGCGACCGCTTGTCCAGTAAGCCAAACGCCCAGCGTGGCTAATGAAGTGAGCCATCAATTGAAACGAGCTGCGCCAACACAGCTATCGTTCATCAAATAAATCCTACATTTTCGTCGGCGAAAATGACCGTAAATCAAATTTTAACCAACCTGAAAATTCTTCCATAACTCCGCAATTCGATGCTCGGTTAAGATGGAAAATCATCGTTTGAAAGGAATACTTGCATTCGAATCTCAAGAGACATGGATCTATCATACAGGAAATTTTTACATACAGTCATACCTCTCTCAGTCGAATTCGAAGGGACCAACAACAAAATTCGACTTCGAGTTAGGGAGGTGAGGGAAACTAAGAATGAAAATACTTGCTGTAAATTTCGACAGACGTAATTGGGGCCCTGAAATGTGAGCTGCAACTTTGTCAATTGTGCTCAAAAGCATTTCCTTAATTATTCCCTTCACATAAAAAAGACTTACCATCGGAAACTGCAGTATAAATGAGTCTACACTCTACAGGATACAAAATGTCAAGCCAGGATTTAATGGACTAATTAAAATTGCTCATTCTCCTTTCCAAAAGCATTAGCATTTGAATTCCTGTCCTTCCTCGTCTTCAGCAATTTCGAGTGAAAAAACTTACAGTTGAAACATTTCGAGTGACTTCTGACAGCAACTAGAAAATAATTCATGGTTGAGAGTTTCCAGTTGAAGAGGACGGACTGCATTTCCTGCGTTTATTGCAAAAGAATAGGAGCTTCCGTCATGTTGAATACATAACGTTTGGAAATTAACATGGTACATAGTCGCAAGAGTTTTCTCCCGTCATCCTAGCATTCCATTACACTGCACTGCGGTAAAGAGTACAGTAGAATTTCGTAACAACGAAGCGTTTGGGATCTTAAGACAAACTTCGTTATGAACGAAAATTCGTTGAAACCAAATTGAAAGAGCCCTTTGGCTATTGGACAGGAACAAAAAAAAAATCGTTGCAAGCATAAATACATTGAAACTAGATTCTGCTTCACTGCGATCGCTTCAGTTTCCGGACAGAAAGTAAATCAAGCAGGTTGATGAATGAACAGTTCATTCGCGAGGGCAACAAAGCACTCACTGAGCTTGACGCTGCCATCCATTCCCAACAGGATATTGTCACTCTTGATGTCCCGGTGTATAACGTGGTTCGCGTGCAGAAACTCCAAGGCTTGCAGGACTTCTCTACAAACAGCCGCAATTTGACCCTCGTCCATGCAAGTCTCCGTCACAACATCTGTCAGAGAACCTCCCGGCAAGTACTCCATAATGACCCAGAGCTCTTCGCCCACTAGATACGAGTCAAGGTAGTTCACAACATTCGGGTGTTTGTTGTGTTTCATGACAATGATCTCGTTGATGATGAGTTCTTTTCTTGGCTGGTCAGCCAGATTCATTTGTTTGATAGCAACTTCTTGAGCAGTCGCCGACTCCATCGCAGTATAAACAACACCGGAAGCTCTGTAAAACATAAAAAACTGCTTCACTTCCGCTTCCACACATGTTCGATAGAATGATTTTCATCAGCGCCGAATATTTCAGCTCATGATCTTTTCGATTATGAAATATTGTACGAAAAGTATATTCAGCCCGGCATTTCGATAATACAAAATAAATAGACCAGTCAATCATCAGTAAAGGCTGAATACTCGGGACACATCGTACAATTTATACTGTAAACAAAATTATGATATACTCCATGATGTCAAGTTCTGGGATTTTTTTCGAATAAAAAAATTTCATTTACTGCACAAGTGAAAACTTCCCAGCGATGACTGGAGTTCTCCACACATATCACTGGGAAAAGTTTGCCAGGCCAGCGGAAAATTAGAATTTCTCTTATTGTTTTCGCCATAATCCAGAATATAGAAACGATAATAATTAAAACAACAAAAAATTCAATTTTTTAGCTGGTCTGAATTTTTTCAGCTCATCGTATGCTGATACAAACACGTTCTCTAACTCTAACGAACCCGAATTCAAGCAAGTTAAGTCTGCTCACCCTTGTCCAATCTTCTCCAATTTGGTGTACTTTCTATTAGGATCTCCGACTGAAACGATGGTTCGCAATTTGGCAAGAACTTCCTCGTCGCTGATTTTCTTCTTTTTTTGGCGGTCAGCGGCATTCGTACCCGACACGGCGTTTGTGGGACTGCTACTCGTGCCTGAAGGCGGCGGTGGCGGCGGCAATACTGGATTCGGCGCTTCAACCGCCGAGTTTTTATTGTCATCAAGGGCATATGGGGTTGAATTGCCGTTCCCTGAACCGTGCGGATGATACGCAGGGCTTATATCATCAGGTTCGGGCGGCTCCACAACTTCGCCATCCTCTTCTACTGGTTTTGTGTACTGAAATTATGGATGAAATTATCCGAAAATCTCGAACGCGTAATGTGAGTCGCCGCAGAGGGGAAAATTCCTTAGAATACAGTTAAACCTCGGCTTACTGTCACCGTTTGCCCTCGCACATTTTGCGGGACTAAACAAGGGTGGCACTAAATCGGGGGTATTGTAACTGTAAGGGAGAATTTAGTTGAGGGTTTTTATTGCAGGCAAATAAAGTTTGTTTTTAGAATTTTTAGGCCACTGAGGGTTTCATAAAAGAGAAAGCCGTTAGCAATAATTTGAAGGTAAAATGTATAGCTTTTTGCGCTGTTGTTTCAAAATATTTTATCGACGGAATATTTTAAATTCTATGCATATTGGGTCTGGGAAAAGAACAAAGCTGTTCCTTGAGTTTTTTGCATAACATTTTTTCATCAGGCGCCATCACAAAGGAATCGCCAATGTTTCAAGGAAATCTTCTTTTTTCTCAATTTTCAATGGAGTAGGGTATCATGGTACAACACAAAATTTTCAAAAATGGAGATTCAAAAATAAAATTCTCAAAATCATCCTGAGTTTTCATGCGAGCATGGCGATGTGATTCTCAGTTATAACCCGATGATATCCTTGGAAAAATGCCAAATAGTAATTGCTCATTCGTGACAAGGATTTTTCGTGGCACTAAATCGTGGTTTCTTTCGAGAACACAATTCAAAAAGATTTGTCCCAGGGAAATTTGTGGCACTATACAAGGATACCACTGAGAATAAATGTTACTCACAATGGACTTGGTTTTCTCTGGTCGACTAGCAATCTGCGGGGGAGGCGGTAAGTCATCCAAACCGTCCTCGTCTCCCCGTCTCGTGTCTTCCGTGACTTTTGGCACTCTAGGCGCCGGTTTGGGCGGCTTCGGTGGCGGGGGATACTTCGGATGCTGATGGTACGCATGGTGTTCGGGCGACGGATGATGTTGTTGCTGTTGCTGTTGGTGCTGTTGCTGCTGCGGATGGTGTAGATGGTGGTGATTGTGCTGCTGATGGAGATGCACGGGCGGAGGAGGAGGCGGCGGTTGCGGCGGTGGTGGATGCGGAACTTGCGTTGAGTGATTACTTTTATTCTTGGGCTGAAATGTGGACACCTGAGACATAGAAATTCATGTTAATTGTGAGCCACGACCCTCATTAATTGCATTTATCAAGACACAGCCATCCCTTCGAGAGCTGATCATGCGTCCGATAGCGAACCAATTCAATAAAATTCCGGAGAAATTGCTCGTTTCAGATCTTGCTTCCTTAAACACGTAACTGGGACAAAATCTCATTTTCTCTCATAATCGAACAAATACAGTCTGACTAATCTAAGTTGAATTTGAAGGGACCAACAAAAAAAGTTGACTTACGAGAGCCTTCGAGTTAGAGGGGTTGGGGAAACTAGGTCTGAAAATGCTTGCGGCACATTTTGAAAGCGATTAGGACTGCAATTTTTGCTGAAACTGTATGCAGCGTGTCCAAAAGCATTGCCTAAATTATTTCCACTGCATGAGAACAGCTAACCAAAAAACTGCAGTATCAATGAGTCTACAGGATGCAAAACCTCAGGCCAGGATATGATGGACCAATTAAAGTTGTTCATCTTCCTTTTCAAAAGTATTATCAAATGAATTTCCTATCCTTTCTTGTCTTCAAAAATTTCAAGTTGAGGATCTTCACAGATGAAACATTTCAAGTTGATGGGTTCCGGTTTAATTGTTTCAATGGGACAGAGAATAGAAAAAAAATCGAGTGAAAGAGGTTTTCGACTTGAGAGGTTCGCGTTGAATAGGTCCGACTGCACCTCGAAAATATATAGAACGGATTATATATAACAAGCTCTCTTTCTTCTCGCATTATTCTTCACGCAGACCATCAACCTCATGGCGAACACCGCGGTTGTTCTAAGTAACACGACTTGTTCAAATTCCGCATACCTGACTGGTCATGCTCATCACAGGTGCTGAATGCGGACTGACGACAGCAGTATACGACGGCGAGTGGGGAGGATGGTGGTGAACATGCTGGTTGTAGTGGTGCGCCCACGGCGAGTTTCTGTCTATTGCTGCGATAGTTGGAAGAAAATACGGTAATAACAATATATTAAAAAATTTCAAATTATTTCATTATTTGTATCAAAATTCAGCAGCCGCTTGGGATGCGATTTTGGCAGCTGTTGATGAAAATGGCGGAATTCTCTTTGAAGACGAGGCAAACCTTGGAATTAATGCCATGTCGATTTGAAGAATTCTGAAGGAAAAGCTGGGCAAAACAAAAATTGTCTTTATTGCGACAAAGGATGCTATTTCTGAACAATAATTTTTTTTCAGCACTATCATATGCCATTTCAATTTCTATCCCGAGAATCTTTATTCGAGCCCTCATATGAAAAATTCATCTAGATTTCAGAAATAGGAATAAAATGGCTCATCACTTTTTTCGCTTATAAATTAGAATGCATCAAATACTGCAGAGGGAATATGCACATCAAATAGCGCCAGTGTGAAAAAAGTTGTCATAAAAGTTCAATATCGGAACTCACAAGTGTGATTCTTACTCGCAGCATTGGGACCATGGTATGGCGAAGACATGGGACTCTGTGAGAACATGAGGAACGCAGACGAGATGGACGTTGGCGACGGATACTCGCCGGAATTCCCCGAAGACGAGTGTTTGTTCGACAGCGTGTGCGCCACCATGTACTTCGTTTCCATGTGGCTCCGTTTCGTGTCATCGTAGTACTTGAGCACATCTAGTACTGCTTGGGGGTTCTTTTTCTGCTCTTGCTTACTGATATTGGAGGACATCAGTAACTTACTCCATTCATCCGGGAGACCCTAACATCAGTAACAATAGTGATGGATTTACAGTTTATTCGCACAAATACTGCATTAACCCGGCGCAAAAAAGCTTCATTACTCAAACGGCAACTCACTTTGAATCAATTAAGGCTGAAAGCACTTTACGTTTCGCATAGAATTCAACGAAATAAAAAAACCGTCCTCGTCTAGCCAGACAGTCGGGACGACGACACAGAAAAATAATCCAAGCACAGCAAACACGGAAAACAAAGTTTGAAAAATAATTTCATGAAAACTCACTTGTCGCGGAAGCTTTACGTCCAGACACGCAGCAAAAAAAGCAATCGGAAAATTTTTGTTTCGTCAGCGTTGGAAGTTCATCACTACGTTCAACAACGAAATAAAGAAAGCCATACGATTACTCACCGTGAATTCCCCGCTGATCGGGTCAAAACCAACATGAATATCATGCTTGAAGTTCGTGGGACTGGAAATGTCCGGCTTATCGTTCTCTGAACGACGCGAGCCCAGCTTACTCTTCGATTTATTTTTCTTTTTGTCCACATCGGGTTCCTTTGGCAAAGGTCGGAATTCCACATTCACGCCCAACGGATTGTCTCTCGTTTCTCTGACAGTCGTAAAATTTGGGAAATCATAATTCAAAATCAGAACTGAATGTGACAGAATAATTCCTTACAGTTCTCCAGTAACATCACAACAATCGTGACAGATTCAGAGTTAATTCGCAGAATGTTATTAACACGGTGAAAAAAAAGCTTTATTATTCAAACGGCGACTCACATACATACATTTAAAGCTGAAAGCACGTTCCATTACGCATAGAATTCAACACAATTTCAAAATGGTCCTTATTTTGCCGAAAAATCGGGACGACGAAACAATGATCATCCAATCACCGAAAAACACGTAAAAAAAGTTGAAAAATAATAATTCCATTACAACTCATGACGGAGTCAAAAACATTTCAGAGAAGGAGCTAATTTGTGATAACCAACAAAAAAATTATACACAGTACAGTGCATTACTGTTAAAAAAACACTATCCAAGATAAAATAGGGAACTTCCTCGGAAGATATTCATAACTACAGTACATCAGAAAAATTCGCACGACAAAAAGGAAGCATTCCAGAAAAGGACTCACCGATTGCTTGTGTGCCGGATTGGGGGAGCAGGTGGTTTCTCGTCGTTATCGGACATGATTGTCCCGAAGATTTCAGTAACTAAAAACAAACTGAAGCAAACATTGAAGGTACTGTACAATGAGAGCAACTATCTCAGGAAAAAGACTCACCTCAAATACTTCACCAACGCATCTTCAATCGCCAGCAAACACGAAAAAAAGACCAAATTCACACGAACTACGTCCTCCGATAAAGTGTCATCTGCAATCATAAAATCGAGATTGAAGTGCTGACATCCTAACGACTCATCCGTAAAAATCCAGAATAAAGAGTGCGAGTCTGTCGGACAAGACGTGCGACACAATGTGACATTACACTTCAATAACTCATCATCAGGCGGATGCCGATCAGCTACACACACCTCTTCGTAACAGGGCTCAAGTTTCGATCTTGCCCCGAGGCAAGGCGAGTACCACACACTACTGCATGAATTTTTGCAACACCGAACACACCGAGAAGCTCGCGCCAAAGCAATCAGAAAAACGCCGAAGCGGAACAGTGCGTCTCGATCAAAGCTATTCAAGAAAACCGCGTCCATTGCTATCGTTCTTCGTCAGATGGAAGAGCACAAAATCAACCTCACAGGCATATTTCCGTTCCTCAGCGCAGCTGTTCGGAATGCATAAAATATGAGTTCTCATAGCTAAAAGGAGTCTTGAGAATTCGATATCTGACTCCATTCTCGATCACCTCAGCAACACGGCTTACAATACTTTTTTTCGTGGTTTTTGTGACACTCAAAAGACTCCACCAGCTTGAACTGAGAAGGAAACCCACGGTATACTTGAAACATTTTTTGTTTTTCAAAGGGCTCTGGTACAGCACATAAAACGTGTACTATGTTGAGAACGCCCAAGTATTTTTTTTTGCATCGAAATTCTGAACTCATTACATCATTCCAAATCAACTCAATGCGAAAAGAACTGGTACAAGCTCCGTTTTACTTTCTTCGACGACTACTTGACGAAATTATGAATAATCCCAGAGGAAACATAGATCGAAATTTCGAGGGAAAAAATGATTTCAGATCAAATGCCGGAGCCATAATTTCAAAACTACTTCAAGAAATCTTCAGAAAACGAGTATGAGCCAAAAAGACGCAGCAAGTGAAGCCTCTTGAATTACAAAAAGCCAATCAATCATCCGAGCTGCGGAGTTTCTACGAGATGCAAGCGTGGGGTGTTCACAATAGTCGGCGACAAAAGCGCTGGAAATGACATATATTTTGTACTCAGAAATTATCATTGCGGCATAAGGATCGCCAAATCGTATCATCAGCTTCCACCGCTTGACAAGGCAACACACCGCAAATTTTAAAACATCTACAACGCTTCGAGAAAAACAAAATTCTGCAGTTGACTGCATTAAATTAGCTGCGTCTACAGCATAGTTTAACTCAGAAGACAACTCTTGCGTGTGACACATTATAAAAAGTTCCCACTAAGTAAGAAAGCAAGAAAATTCGTAATCAATACGAGGGAATTACACCTGCACCGCATTTGATAAACTTCCAATTGGAAAGTAGATATTGCAACAACAAAAATCAACCAGAGTGCGTCAGAAAAAAAGATTTCATCACTGGAAAAAGTGACGATGCAGGACACTATCACACTAGGAGTAAATTGATAACACAGGGAACTTGAACACTCAATTTCGAAAATTCGCCATGATCAGCCAAGTTTTCAGCTCTATCTTCCTTGAAATTCCGCCAGCGCTTTTGTCAACATCATCATGCTTCACACCCGACAAAATCTAGACAAAAAGGCACCGATGTCCAAGACCGAACTTTGCAACCATTTGCCTTTCAAAGGGGGAATCCCGATAACCCTGAAATCAATCCAAAGCCGGACCAAATCGTTGCATATTAACACGGCGTGGAATGCCTCACCGCAAAATCATTAAAAAAAACAACAAGCAGCAATCGATACCTTCCATACGGAATTCCGCACCATAAATAAAATCCCTGACGCACGACGCATCATAACACAGACTCATTCAACACCTTCAAAATGAAAAAGAAAGAAAAAACAGAAGAAAAGTAAAACTCAAAAGATGCAGGCGAATACAGTATGATCGGATTTGCCCAGATCGCTGGACTCGGTCGGAGTTCGAAATACTCCAGAGTTTAAAATTTTGCTTCGCTTTCCTTTTTCTCACGTTAACGGTAATATGATCAAGTCACCTCACTTGAGATCAGTAAGATCATCCTCCAACATCTTTTGGATTTCGGAGTCAACTTCGCGACTCGCTTCGACAATGGCGCGACTGTCGGCGGTTCCCACAACTTCGTAGCCCTGCAATTCGTCCTCCAACTCCTTCTCCCAGTCGGCTTCTTTCTTCGGATTCTTGCCGCCACTTATTCGCAGCTTCGTGCTCAATTCGGCGCCCGTGAGACCACTAGTCGGTGGCGGGCAAAAATCGTCCGAAGCGAACTCATTCATCGGGCTCTCCGGTCCATCGTCGTCCTTGCCTTGTTTTTCTTCATGTAGCAAAACATTACAGTATTCAAATAATTTGATTATGCGTTTCTCGAAAAATTATTCGTTCATTATTAAAGCAACTCACATCAATGCAAAACTAATCATACCCGTTTCAAAAAGCAACTCACCATCGAAAGACGAGGTAGGAGATGAAACAGGCGATTCTTTCGAATCCTGTCGAGTAGCGGATATGGAAGACAGTTCCGACGACTGGCAAATGAGACTGACCCGGTAGAAATAATTCCGCCAGAACGGTTCTTCCTTCACCCTGTAAAATACCGGAAATCATCAACATTCAAAGGGGGCAATGAAAATGAAACTAAATATCAATCCAAGCAAACGTTCAATTCTTCTTACAGTAGATTTCGAAGGAAATCCATGGAACTTTCTAAATAGCATTATTAAAGAAAAAAAAAACGAAGTTTCGCAAAAATCAATTCACACTCGAAGCAGACGAGCACATTTTCGCAGAAACCATAGATATTCTACATCGAGTGGGAGAGGTTCGGAAGTACATACAATATACATTTACAAACTATCCGATCACAAAAATAAGTAAAAATCGTCAGCTGTGAAGCGCTTCTTTCTCTTCAAACAAGACAAAAGTTTTGATAAATGGGGAGGACGACAAAATGGACCACGAAACATAAATTCTGAAGTCCCATTAAATGGGAGACGAGATCCAAGAGAAAGCGAACGTAATGAGCCGTTTAAAATTATACGGTACGGCTTTAAAATGCTGTTAGTCAAATAGACCACTTGTAAGTTAAACGATCAGAATACAACTATTCATAAAGTCATTCTGAGCTGCTTTGGTTTTTCATTCAACCAACAAATTTCTCGCGCCCAAATACCTTTCATTTTTGCTTAAAATTGTCGTTAATGACCGAAGTTCAGTCATACGTATCTCACGTGCTCTCTCCCTTCCCCAACTTTTCAAGAGCAAACGCAGCCAATCTTTTCCAGCGAGCAATGCACTGACTGAAGGCTGATATCAAAAAGGGGCCGAACTAACATTCAACATTTTGTCGCATTCAAAAAAAGACTGACAGATAAAAATCAAAATGTGAAAAAACATGTTCCAGGGGCGGTTGTTTTTCAAAACGGAAAAGGTGGAAAAACATCGCTTGCACAGTCATAAATCATTGAAGAAACAGAATTGAATGAGGTTAACATTTCATAGCCTACTGCTTAAGAAATGAAAGACACTCCAAAATTGTACGGTTTTCGCTTTCCCTGCAAATTTATTGATTTTCTTTCGTTTCAGATAATTTCGGGAGGTTTCCTAATTTTCCCGCCAGAAATATAAGTTTCCCGTAGTTTCAGCAACAAGCAGGAATTCATTTAGACTGGCACTCGGCAAATAGAACTACTGTACATAGAACCACAGTACTGCATAAGAGAATTTAACATACATCAGCGGGAGATTTTTTAAGCGTATTTAACATCAATACGATGAGAGTAGACTGCACGGCACAAAATCAGAAGGGCTTCTCTTAGCACGAATGTTTTCCCTCCTCTGCAAACAGCACAAGCTCGGAGTCTTTCATACGAATTGGGAATAACTTTGACTCAAGCTACGCAGGCAACGGGTAAGCATTGGTACTCGTTTGGATTCTTGAATTCGGCGATTAGAAAATGAAAGATGGCATGATTTCAAAACACAGAAGTCTCGACCTCAGCGAAGCTTATCGCGTCTTTAAATCCTTTTCAACCACGACAAACTACCCTTGGGCTTTTTGGCGCATAATATAAAATTAACTGAAGAAAACATAAGTCGTACTCACACTTTCGGCACAAGTTCGTAGCGCATCTTCGCCAACTCGTTGTCGTGCTTCAAGATCGCTTCCGCAACCGGCAACATTGTTTCCATGTTGAACTGGAATTCCACTCCACTCGGCGGACTCCGGACGAAATTCCGACGATCCGATGACAAAGAAATTATTTGTTCTTTCAACGTCTCCTCATCCGCACATCCAGACCACGGAGGTAGTCCGTTTTCTTTTAACCCCTTCTCCTTCAGGAAAGTTTCCTGTTCGCGATTGAAATCTGCCAAAATGCTGTTTTTTTCCACGGTCTCTTTCAATTTTGCCCCTGCCTCGGAGACGGTCTTCCCGGCCTTGTTCACGGCAGAGAAAAGAAAATTGCCGAAATTTTTTGCTCCATTGATGGCCTTGTTTTTTGAATCATTCGGATCTTTCACGAGCTTGGAGTCATCTTCTTCAGACATCGGCGAATCAGGGCCTGAAGTCATGGACTCTCGATCCGCGCTTTCGGTGGCACTGTAAGCATCATTCCAGATACAGGAATTTGTTGAATAAAGTGTTGAAAGTGTTAGCACTGGAAGCCTACTTCAATCGAACGACGATGTACAAAAAAAGACGCAATTAGTATAGTTCTGTAGAGTACTTGATTTGAATCATTCATCACACGACGGGTTCGTTGACAGTGTGGGTGTGAAATTTCGAGTGTAATTACTTTATCTTTCATTTGCTTTTTCATCATCTGCAAGAGCTCACGAGAAAATAATCGACCTCAGCGATTAATAGAAAATCTCCGCACGTGTCTCATGGCTACCATCATTCCGGTGGCAAAAATAAAAGCCGCGAACTAGTACTGACAACAGTAACCCAGAACCTTCGCCTGACCCAGGGGAAGAAAAGCTTTAAAACAAAGCAAATGAAAGCAGTACTGTACAGGGAAAATCGAACAGGGAGAAACGCACCTTGAGTGATCATCATTCCGGTCGTCAACAGAACCCTTCGTGCTCATTGCAGACGTCTGACTCTCGGTCTCATTCTCGCCATGGTCTTTTCCCTTGGGCTTTTCTTCCGTTTCCGGTTGTACTGGCGTATCAGGCTTTTCCTTCTTGATCAAATTCCCCACGCCGCCCAACCAGGAGTTCATTTGATTCGATACATTACTGAACATGTTCATTGTCACTCACACCGATTTCATCGATAATAAAAGTTCTGCGAAGAGAAAGATGACACATGTACTCGGAAAGAAAGGGAAACTCAACGAACGGTCAAAGAAATCGATAAATCTATCAACGACCACTATTCCAACACACCCGGCTTCTTCATTTCACAATCATCCGCTTCTGCTTCAAAAGCGCATTCCTCAGTCTGATCTGCAGGAGAGAAAAAAGCTGTTTCATTCCTCGAAAAAAATAAATTTAATCCTCATGCCTCCAAATTTCGAAAAAACTATAAAAATCATACAGGAAATGATCGACTTACCTGTCGATCTCGGAAAGAAGCGGTTTGCTTCCGCTTATGCTTCTGTCGAACCATCATAAATGGTTTATTCTTCAACTTTTCTACGTTCGACGTCGACGCTGTTGGGTTCATTCGTTGAAACTTTTTACCGAACTTCTCTCGGCCTTCGCGGCCCTCCTGAAAGAAAGACATTCGTTAAATGCTGCAAAACAATTCCCCGAGCAGCACGAAAATACCTTCACTGATGCCATGCGACTTTCACGGTCGTGGTTTTTCTTCGCGTGAATCATTTCGATATCCTTCACCAGTACGACGCCAGGCCTGTGCACGAGGCAAAAAATTCAAGGACAATCAAAGAAACGAAATCTTCTCAAGCGTGATCAGAGAACTTCGTATAAAATTATGACGTTGCATCCACGATATTTTAGTAACGATTAAAAAAAAACCCTCCATGAAACAATGAACACATTTTCAAAACAAAAGAGTAAGTTCCTTCAAAATACGCGGTACATTCTATCATAAATGTTATACGATATACATTAGCTTACAATCTCGCATCTTCTTCCTCTTCGCTGCTTCCTTCTGATCCGGATTCATCCGCATCTTCGTCAGAATCAGATTCTTCACTGGCAACATCGAGCCACTCATCTTCCTCAGGGTTTGTCACTATTTTGATGGGTTTTTTCGCTTGCTTCCGTTTGCGAAGACGTTTAGCTTCACGCATTTTTTCCCGCTGCGCTGAAACACCCTTCTTCTCTTGAGCATTGAGCTTTTTCGCCAATTGCGCAGATTCGATTTTTCTAAAATCCTTCTGCGTCAAAATCCGATCCAGCGTGATAGCAGCAGCCATCTCTTCTTTCTTCATGACTTTCTGGAATGTTTTCAAGGTATACATTTTCAATCATCGTTGTTCTCACGGCAATTACGTCCTGTGTAGCGGAAAAAATTAAAATCGGCTGAAATGTTTAAATAATCTACTGAGCAAACGGAAACGTAATCTTCGTTCATTGGTATCTTTTAATAAATTAATCTGCAAGGAATGATAGAAATAAGAGCAAAAGTGGTCACCTGTTCTGGTTGCTCGCTTGTTTCCACTTCGGATTCGCACAGTTTCCGCTTCTCGCCCTTCTGCTCGTCAACACCTTCTTCTTCATCATCAGAAACACTTTCGTTACCATCACAGCTCTCATCGTCGTCCTCTTTATCGTTCAAATCCACGCATTCATCAGAGCTCTCATCCTCGCAATCATCCGATTCTTCGTCGGAGGCGGAGTCATCTTCACCGAGCTCCGAAGCCTTTTGAGATAATGGTGAATTCAAAGCATGTTTTGCATGCGGGAAGTTTTCGTCACCAACTCACATCAACAGAAATGGATTTCTTTTCGGATAGAATCTCAGCTCCAGGCACGAAATCCTTTGCCTTCATGGCTCCGTACTCGTGAAGTTCTGTTTCTTGCATGCTCTCAGTTGGTCGCCCCTATTAATATACTTCAGGTTTTAAAATGCATAGCAAGCAATTAGAAAACAAATCGGTGGTACTCGATGTTTTTTGCGAAGCATTCCAGGATTGACTTCGCGGAACAAGGTGAGCAAAGATCGTGAAGCCATGGCAACTGCTTTCTCACGGTGAGACTTATACTCGACGAGATCGCCCAATAGTTCTTCCGTCATAGCCAGCGGACACCGGGCACAAATTTCTCGGATTGCATTCAAGCTGCAAGAAATTTCCGAATACGTTATCAACTCTAAAACCGAATAAATGCCACTCAATAATTTCCGTCTCTACGCTATCACGATCAATAATTTCTCCACAGAAAAGCTTAATATTTCGTCAAGTAGAGATTCCCTAGAAATTTTAAACACAGACAGCATCAGGCTCATATGCTGTAAAGATACTGTACTCGAGATTTTGCAACATAATTGAAATCACGTCAGCCAAAAACGCTTTCTTCGTTTTCAAACTCCTACAACAAATGTGGGTGTGGTATTCGTTAGAGTAAATATAATATAAAGCACTGACCCAACAGCCATAACTTCCGATGAATTCCTTTCGGTAACAAAATTGTTCGCAACCGTTCTGAGCAGAGCTTCTCCGACATCTGGTGGAACCATTTCATGGATGGCTTGAGCACCATACGTTAGCAGATGTATAACCTCTGCAATTGAATTTTTCAACACGTCAGCGGAGTTGGAAGTTCCTGGTTACCATGTCACGTCTTCCGTTAATCGAATTCAGATACTAACCTCGCTGATGGGGCTGCAGAAATCTTTGCAAATATGAGTAATACGGAAGCAGGAGTAGTTCGTGAATGCCAACAAGACGAGAAATAAGATTCAAGTGCATCAACTTCACTTCGAAGCACTCATTCAACTTCTCCAACTGGTGAAAAAGTTTCTCAGCAAAACCCTGCGGGTCGCTGATCATGTGTAGCGCGGAAAAATTGAAACCAGGAGCCTTTTTCTTCTTTTTTGTCTTGCTAATCGTTTGCTTGATCTTTGCGATTTGCTTCTTCATTTTACGCGACTTCTTCTTCACTTTTCCAGCATGTATCATTTCCTTCGCTGTCTTCAAATCCACTTGCGATTTCTGAGGAAAACGAAGAACCACACTTAATCCTGATATCTATGAGAGATAAGTTTGTTCTGCTTACTTCGTTTTCACTGTCTGAATCTGACTGATCTGATCCCTTTGCATCAGGATCACGTCCAAGGAAGAACTGCATCGCTGTTACCATTACTTTCACGTCTTTCCTCAGACATGCGGCGGCAATCACATTGACAACCCGTGAATTTTTCCAGATGTTTTTCCGGTACAATTCCATCAAAATCGACAATGCTATCCTGGCGGAAGTTGAGTTGGATTCCCGGGTCATTCCGAACATGAAGTTTTGCAAAACCTAAATGGATCATCTTAGCAAAAGTACTTCAATAGTTTGGAATCAATCGACTCACAGTGTTGATTTTCACATCCTGATGCTTCGAGTTTACATTCTTCACGTCACTTATAATGAAAGCTTCCAAGTAGGCACGAAGCTTCTTATCTTGGATTCTCATGAGAAGAAAGAACGTTTCCATCACGCGTACGGCAGGGACTAATCCTTTATTTCGCATCAAAATCAGAGCTCTGCAAAATGCCTAGAAAAGAAATTCAATGTATATCGACACGCTCATTTGCTATTCTCACACATACCAGTCGCATTTCCGCGTGGATGGCAGATTGATGATCTTTCAGGACATCCATCAGACGACATGGAAAGCCTTCAGTTTCTTTCTTGTAGCAGTGCGCTACATTCGCCAGGAACATTATGACAGATTCTAATTCATGATTGTTCCGGCCTGGGTCCAACAAGAAAAGCGATAGTGTGGACTGGAAATGTTGCAATTGCTGGAGGAACTGTGAAGAGGGGCCAATTAGATAATGTTGAGGACATAGACCTTCTGATCAACCTTACATCTTCTCTGTATGATTGCGGATCCCGCTTGAGCAGATTCTGTAATTGCGGGAGATTATTCGGTAGTTGATTACTTCGTCGGATCTTCATTTTTCCAACTTCACACCACGGAATCCAGCTTTCGTTTAATCCCAGTTCCACAGCCGATTTCTAATTACGTCACTCTACCCTCAAGGTAAGTATTAGACTACTCGAGGAATAATATCCAGTTAAAGCTGGGTCACTTACTCCTATATTATAAAATAACATATTCGCACAGATCAGTCCAAATTATTCCGACCAATACCCGTGTCAAATCGACAGTGTGAGTTTGCCTGTCTTCGACGGAAAGGACACAAATTCAAGGTCGATTCAGAAGCTCCGACATTTCACTTACAACCGAGAATCGACTGCACTTGACAGAAACGCGTCGGCATTCTGTTCCAGCAAAAGACGCTCGGACACATCAACATCTCACGGCAAGTTTACCCTCCCGATCGCAGCCTACAGCTACAATCCGAAGCTAATCTTCGAGGATCGTTTCACGTAACCGTGTGCAATGCAGAAGGTCTGGATTAACATGCATTGCTATTCCATAAATCTGTTCAATAGGTGTCGTTACTTGTATGCCCAAATGATTTCTTTCATCCTGCTACATTCGACATATAGCATGTACAGTACGTACAGTATATTGTATTTGTACTGTACTTTACCCGACACTATACCGCATTTTGACCCGGGAAATATACCGCATTTTGACCCCGGAAATATACCGCATTTTGACCCCCTAAAGCATATGAAGCATCAAAATCTACTTCATATTGTGAATAATTTTGCAGTACAGTAGAATTCCGTTACAACGGATTTTTTGCTATAACGAATTTTTTCATTGGTCCTGGCAGTTTGCCTTACGTACAGTGTTATAAAAATCTCATTTTAACAAATTTTTTTCACAGAATCTCCAGTTATAATGAATTTTTTTTACAAGATTTTTGAATTTTTTTACAAAATTTCCACATTTTTCAAAAAATTTTCAAATTTTTTCACCAGATTTTCAAACTTTTTTATCAAAATTTCAAATTTCTTGTCCCAATTCTAACATGTTATGTCCCCAATTTTCAGGGACACAAAGGAGTCCCTGATTTTCATACAATACTGATTTCCTTTGACACATCACCACTATAGAGGATGATGGACATCAGGAAATTTGTCCGCCTCAGTCCAATTATGCTCTGAAAAACAGGAAGCAAAAAATTGGTTACATTTCCTGACTGGCAGGAAGCCCATAAAATAAATGTATCCTGATAAATTTATCAGCCAAACCTCAGGAGGCTGGAAGCACAGTGCCAACTTGGAGCTCGGGAATCCAAGAGCAACCAGCAGAATCAATGAAAATCCTTGCTTTGTAGTCCCCTGTATAAGTCATTTTTTCTAATCTTGAAAGGCACAAGTTTAGATGAGGTGACCCAACTGCAAGATTTGTGTAAAACAATGGCCCTATCATTGTACAGTTGAATACTGTGTGACACCAGCAATAATTTTTTATGAGTGTAACATTGCACAGCTGTTTTTACTGTGCCACATAGGGGCTGTAATGTTGCACAGTAATCACTGTGCAAACTTTTCAGCCCTCAAGCCATACAGTGTATTCCTGTGCCCTAACATATTGCTGTGCAATGTTTGCCTGAATGACCTTGCACAGAATTTCAGTGAAAAGATCATGTACAGTGGCCCCCTGCCTAACAGACTTAATTTGTGCAACAGATTAGTCCTTTGGGAAAAAAGTCTGTTGGGCAAGTTCAATTTTGTCATAGGTTTACATGTTAAAAATCTTTAATGTGGTTTTAGTTCAAGGTTTCTAAAATGAGAGAGGCCAGAGATTTCTGCCATATAGGAAATGCAGAGTTTCTACCAGATGGGAAATGTTAAATTCTTGCAAGGAGGGATATGAGAAGTTTCAAGGGGACACACCTTAAGTTTCTACAAGAAGAGATAAGTGAAGTTTCTACAAGAAGAGATAAGTGAAGTTTCTACCAGAAGAGAGACCAAAAGTTTCTACAAGAACAGATATGCAAAGTTTCTACCAGAAGAGAGACCAGAAGTTTCTACAAGAAGAGATAAGTGAAGTTTCTACAAGAAGAGATAAGTGAAGTTTCTACAAGAAGAGATAAGTGAAGTTTCTACCAGAAGAGATAAGTGAAGTTTCTACAAGAAGAGATAAGTGAAGTTTCTACAAGAGGAGATAAGTGAAGTTTCTAAAAGAAGAGATAAGTGAAGTTTCTACCAGAAGAGAGACCAAAAGTTTCTACAAGAACAGATATGCAAAGTTTCTACCAGAAGAGAGACCAGAAGTTTCTACAAGAAGAGATGAGTGAAGTTTCTACAAGA